AAAGTCCCTCTATATCTCCTTGGAAATGTACTATGTAATAATCAACAACACCACTGGACACTTCGATTGATTATTTTGTTCGATTGATTGTTAATTGAGCTCTCCTTTTTTTCTAATCTTTCTCAACTCTCTTTTCCCTTTCCTTTCTAATCCCTTCATTCAGTTCTCCTTTGAACTTTCTTTGAACGTTCCCATCTTTCTTTTCTTTCCCTTCCATTTCTCATCCCCGCCCAATCCATTTGCCACCCTTCTCTAATCCCTTCTTTCGGCTTTCTTTTCTTGACCGTTCCCTTTTCTTTCTCACCCTTCTCAGAAATTTCACATCTCTACGTTCTCTCTTACTATTTCCCTACTTTTTCCTTTCTCACCCTTACCCTCTCTCTTCTCTAATCCCTTCTTTCATCGCTTTTTTCTCGACATTTTCCTTCGTCTACCCTTCTTTGAACCTTCCCATCTCGCTTTTCTCACCCTTATCCTCTCTATTTTCTAATCCCTTCTTTCATCACTTTTTTCTCGACATTTTCATTCGACTACTCTTCTCTGAACCTTCCCATCTCTCTTTTCTCACCCTTATCCTCTCTATTCTCTAATCCCTTCTTTTCATCACTTTTTTCTCGACATTTTCCTTCGACTACCCTTCTTTGAACCTTCCCATCTCTCTTTTCTCACCCTTACTCTCTCCCATCTCTAAACTTATAACCAATTCTACTCGTTATAAACACCGCTTATCCAAGCTACATTCGCCGTGGTGTAATAATTTATTTTATTCCGGATGTTTTATGAATAATTTTTCTTGTGTTTTATAGGTAACGTAGAGGGCGGTTTGCCCTCGTTCAAACTACCCCCGTTCCACACGTCATTCAACGGTACTGAGTTTAGTTTCCACGAAATGGTCAGCGAATATGGCACTGTGGTGATATTTTGCCCGTTGATAGCAGTTTTGGAGCACATCGCCATTGGAAAAGCATTTTGTAAGGGTCTAATAAGTCTATGACAAGTGTATAGAACAACCGAAAGCAGGCTGAATAGCTCTAGCAGTCGAGGCTTCGATATTGAAAAGGGAAAAAGAAGAAGAACTACCGGACGTTAAACGAGAAGACTTTAAATCATAAGCTATACAATTGCTCGAATATATTTTATTCATTGTACCGAAATATGTGCAATTTTCAACAATCTTTAAGCATTATCTAGATATGCATTAAGTATTGTAAAGTCTTCTCGTTTATTTTTCAAATATCGCGCTTCTATTCTGTACTCTGCTCTGAATCTACTCTGGTCGGATTCTCTGAATGTACTTTGTATTACACTGTATTCTATCACACTCTATTATTACTCTGAATCTACTTCATTCTTCTATAATCTACTCCTACACCAATATAACTAAAAAAAGCGAATTAAATACTCTACCCTACTCTAATTCTACTGTACTCTAAATCTACTCTGAATCTACTCTACTGTTCTGTACTCTAGTGTAATCCGAATCTAGTCTACTTTGAATTAATCTACTCTTACTCTAATCTACTGATGTACCTTTCTGTACTCTACTCTAAATCGACTCTGAATGTACTCTATTTTATTTAAAATCTACTCTATTGGTTATTTCTCTACTCCAGCAGCGTATTCTGTATGAATCTAACACTGAATCTACTCTACTTTGAATTTACTCTGAATCTACCCTACTCTTCTCTACACTTCTGTACTCTACTCTAAATCAACTTTTCTGTACTTTCCGGACTCTAAATCTACTCTACTGGTTGGTTCTCTACTCCAGCAGCGTATTATGTATGAATCTAACACTGAATCTACTCTACTTTGAATTTACTCTGAATCTACCCTACTCTACTCTCGCCTATGAAAAATTACTAACGTTTCTCGCATCGTAAGCGATTAAGTAGGACTTTAAGATGCGTTCGATAATACATCATCTATCAAAATTGACTTTAATGACATTTACGACACGACTTTAATAGAGGTGGGAACCGATCGTTCGGTATAGAGATGCAGTTACACAAAATAACCGTTACAAAATAACCGTTACTTTTTACAAACGTCAAAAATTAACCGAATATTTTTTCTTTTATCTTCCCCGAACACAGCCAAAGGCAAAACGTTGGACGCGACGCAGGAGATGCTGGCTTTGGGCGTGTGCAACGTGATGGGTTCCCTCGTGCAATCGATGCCCGTAACCGGTTCGTTCACCCGAACGGCGGTGAACAACGCGTCGGGCGCCAAGACGCCGACGTGCGGCATCGTGACGGGCGTCATGGTGCTGTTGGCGTTGAGCTTTCTGACGTCGTCGTTCCAGTACATACCGAAGACGACGCTGGCCGGCGTCATCATCGTCGCCATGTATTATCTGTGCGATTTCGACGCCTTCAGGATATTGTGGAGGACGAAAAGTGAGTGTCGGGGGGGGGGGGGGGCGAATCGGGGTGGAAAATTGGAGATGGGGAGAGTAGCGAGTATAGAGTAGGGAGGAGTAGAGGGTAAGGTAGTGGAGAGTAATAGGGAATAGGGAGTAGATGGTGGAGAACTAGAGAGTAGATGATAGGGAGTAGAGTGGAGTGTAGATAGTGGAGAACTAGAGAGTTGATGATAGTGAGTAGATAGTGGAGAACTAGAGAGTAGAAGATAGGGAGTAGATATTGGAGAAGTGTATAAGTGTAGATAGTGGAGAACTAGAGAGTTGATGATAGAGAGTAGATAGTTTAGAACTAGAGAGTAAATGATAAGGAGTAGAGTGGAGAGTAGATAGTGGAGAACTAGAGAGTAAATGATAGGGAGTAGAGTGGATAGTAGATAGTGGAGAACTAGAGAGTAAATCTTAGGGCGTAGAGTGGAGTGTAGATAGAGGAGAACAAGAGAGTAGATGATAGGGAGTAGATAGTTCAGAACTAGAGAGTAAATGATAGGGAGTAGAGTGGAGAACTAGAGAGTAAATCTTAGGGCGTAGAGTGGAGTGTAGATAGAGGAGAACAAGAGAGTAGATGATAGGGAGTAGAGTGGAGTTTAGATAGAGGAGAACCAGAGAGTAGATGATAGGGAGTAGATAGTTCAGAACTAGAGAGTAAATGATAGGGAGTAGAGTGGAGAGTAGATAGTGGAGAACTAGAGAGTAGATAATAGGGAGTAGATAGTGGAGAACTAGAGAGTATTGAGTAGAGGGTGGAATGTTAATAAGGGTTAGGGGGCGCAAAATTTTGTTTCGGTACAGGAAATTCCGTGTTGCGATAATCGCACGCAGGAATTAAATACTCTACCCTACTCTAATTCTACTGTACTAAATCTACTCTGAATCTACTCAACTCTCGTGTAAACTGAATCTAGTCTGCTTTGAATTAATCTACTCTTACTCTAATCTATTGATGTACCTTTCTGTACTCTACACTAAATCTACTCTGAATTTTCTTTATTTTATTCAAAATCTACTCTATTGGTTGGTTCTCTACTGTAGCGTATTCTGTATGAATCTAACACTGAATCTACTCTACTTTGATTTTACTGTGAATCTACCCTACACTTCTGTACTCTACTCTAAATCAACTTTTTTGTACTTTCCGGACTCTAAATCTACTCTATTGGTTGGTTCTCTACTCTACTGTATCTTGTATGAATCTAACAATGAATATACTCTACTTTGAATTGGCTCTGAATCTACCCTACTCTACTACACTCTTTTGTACTCTACTTTAGTCTATTCTGAATCTACTCCTAATCGACTCTACTCTCCCCTATCAAAAATTACGAATATTTTTCGCATCGTAAGCGATTAAGTAGGACTTTAAGATTCGTTCGATGATACGTTAACTGTCAAAATTGACATAAATGACAGATGTTTAATAGAGATGGGAATCGATAAATTGGTATAGAGGCGCAACAACGACTGTTACAAAATAACCGTTACTGTAAAAGTGTTTTTAAACTTTAAATAATCATTTATTTCGTTTGTAGAATTGGATCTGATACCGTTAACGGTGACGCTAACGTTTTGTTTGCTGCTTAACCTCGAATACGGCATATTAATCGGCATAGCGGTGAATATCGTGTACGTGCTCTACTCGTCGGCGAGACCGAAAATCGAAATAGAAGACTTGAATACGAGCTTTTACATGGTGAAATTCAAAACGGGCCTCCATTATACGGCCTCGGAGTATTTGAGAGAGTACATTTTGAGCAATTGCTCGTCGGCCAAAAGTACCGTTATTATAGACGGGGAATACATCGGTAATATCGATGCTACGGTGGCAAAGGTAAAAAAAAGATAGAAATACGCTTATACTGGATCGTATTGATCCAGTAAGAGTGCGCGATTTATTTTTCCTTGATTCGGAGAAATCGTATGATACGTGGCAACAGCGCTGCATCGAAACGCACTCTTGCCGGATTTTACCGGATTTATTTGTAATATTCATAGAGTTTATTGTATTATATGTTTTTAGAGTTTCCTGGTGTTGAGAGATGAACTAGCTATTAGAGATCAAAAATTGATATTTTGGAATTTCAAGAAATCTGTGATGGATACCTGTTTGGGAGTGAATGAGAATTTGAGGGGGAATTTTCGGGATGATGGTTTGAATGAGATCATTGGTAAGTTGGCGAGGATTCGTTTGGAACGTTGTATTTCTAATAATTGTTTTTTTTTTTCTTCTTTTTTAGTTTCTTGATTTAGAAGAGGAGAAGGAATGAAACGTTGTTATTTACTACTTACTTTTGTGTGTAGATTATTTTGTATAAATTTCTGTTAAATAAATATAGTTTGTTGTTTTTAGATTTTTTTTCCTTAAAAATTTATAGCCGGGTTGCAAAAAAACTGTAATTTTTATAAAGCCGGTACTGCTTCTAAAAAATAGATGGCGCCACCGATCGTAGATCAACTTGATAAATATATAGAGCTTTGATGTGTACGGCTCAACTAACAAAATAATTAGGGATGATAATCTTATAAGTATAAAAAAGAAGAATTTGACATTTGTGACAGCAGACAGCGTCCGTCATTTTTCTTTTCGACCGCTGTTCGCGCATTATAACCTCTTTTTGTTATTTGTTTACGTGAAATTTCTGTAGGAAAAACAGCGAAAAATCGCCGAAAATCAACAGGAAAACAATCGAATTTCCTCGCTTTCCATTCGCCAACAAATAAAACACTCGAAAATCGCCAGGCGAAAAGGAGAAACAAGGACGAAAAATGGACAATTTAGAAGCCAACATAATGGACAAGTCCATGCGATCCGTCTTCGGTAAGTTTAACCGTTTACACACGTTTAATTAACCGTTTTAACGCGCGAGATTGTTAAAAATGCTTTTAACTGATGCACTAAACTGTTCCCGTAATTTTTTCCTCCAGTGGGAAACATCCCCTACGAGGCCACCGAAGAGAAACTGAAGGACATTTTCGGGGAAGTGGGGCAAGTGCTGTCGTTCAAGTAAGTCCCAGAGCTCTCTTTTACATAATAGACAAGTTATTTTTATTCAAACGGTGCCAATTTATTGGCTGCATAATCGTAAGATAAGAGGTTTTTATTGTGGGTAACGGAAGGTTCTCCACCCTCTCATTCGCTCTAAACTCGTATCACTAATCTACAAGCATCTCTCTCCCACCCGCAGACTGGTCTTCGACCGTGAAACGGGCAAACCCAAAGGCTACGGCTTCTGCGAGTACCGAGACCAGGAAACCGCCTTGAGCGCCATGAGGAACCTAAACGGATACGAAATAGGCGGGCGGAATTTACGCGTGGACAACGCCTGTACGGAGAAGTCTCGAATGGAGATGCAGAATCTGCTCAATCAGCCGCCCGTCGAGAATCCCTACGGGGAGCCCATCCAGGCGGAGAAGGCTCCGGAGGCGATCAGCAAAGCGGTGGCTTCGCTGCCTCCGGAGCAGATGTTCGAGCTGATGAGACAGATGAAGAGTACCATACAGGTGGGTTAAATGTATACAGGGTGTTCCATAATGACGTGATAATATTTAAGGGGGTGATTCCTGGACCTATTTTAAGACGATTAGGACGTTGGTTCACATGAAGTTTTTTCTTAAAATGGGCCCAAGAATCACCCTCTTAGATATTAGCATGTCATTTTGGAACACCCTGTATTATGTAGTTTGAATAGATAAGAAATAGTTTAAATGGAGAGTAGTACGATGTGAGATATATGTGAATAGAAATACGTTATTAGAACTCGAAGCGGTTTTCAGTTGCTGAAAATATTCAATATTTTAGGAAATATAGCCATTTTAAATTTACCCTTTTGACAGGTGACATTGTATTATTAGTGGCATAAGAATTCAAACGGAATGTTCGGAAGAATAGAAGAAACGAACAAAAGTGAAATGTAACATCAAATGACAGATGACATATCTACGGTTATGTTGTTGTAAATTTAAAAATTAAAAATTTCACCAATGATTTTTATAAAAAAATTATAAATAAAGTCGTACTCCTCTCCATTGCTCGAGTAGTTGTTTAGTAGTTAGAATAGTTTTTCACCAGAATCTAGTAACTTTTCTCAGAGTAGTTCTTAATATTTGAAATGCTCAAGTCGATTCAAATGCATTTATTGTTATTAATATTTTTAGAATAACCCAACCGAAGCGAGACAGATGCTTTTGCAAAATCCCCAATTGGCCTACGCCCTTCTACAAGCCCAAGTCGTCATGAAAATCATCGATCCTCATACGGCAGCCGTAAGTAGTTCAATTGAACCATTTTAGTAGTCCCATTTCAAGCATTTCAATCGTTTCTAAAGAGAAGAATAAAAAGCAAACGTTATCTACTGTTACTTATACAGATTGCTCCATTTTTCATTGCAACAAAGACAACTTCCATTAAACACCATAAAGGAAAAAGAAAGAGTGATATTATGTCATTGCAACTTTTCACTTTGACAACTGACATTTAATAATCTTTCTTTGTTCAACTCATAGAAATGCCCATGTTGCAATCGCGAATGAAGCACCGGGTATGTATATACAGGGTGTCCCGCATAAGAAACTTAGAAGGAGCCTACTCTAATACTTTATACAGCCCTATAATACTTTTTAACGCTTCGAATTTCGTTCTTTGTACAATCTAAATAGTAATTGAATTTGATTTTTTTTGTTTTCTATAGAGTTTACTGCACCCCGTCAATCAAGTACCGGCCACTTTGCTGGCGGGCGATAAGAACGTAGGCCTGCAAGTGCCCATCGGGAACCAATACAGGGAGCCCCCGGGGCCAGTGCAGGCCCCCAGGCAGGAGTACCAACCCGTACCGCCCCCGACTGCAGTCGTACATCCGGGTCACGTGCAACAACAGCCAGTTTTTACCGGTACGAAATAGATCAATTGGATTGATCAATCGATTGATTGATTCGAAGACATTACAACTGAGAGACTAAAATGTTTCTATGATAATTAACATATATTTGTGGACTTCCTTTCCTTAGATTGATCGATCGATTGATTGATTCAAAGACATTTCAACCCGAGAGACTAAAATGTTTCTATGATAATTACCATATATTTGTGGACTTCCTTTCCTGTCTAGTTTTTCCTCCATCTTGATTATTATTAATATTTTATTCAGGATGATTAAATGAAGGAGGGAAATGTTCGAAAAAAGGATCAGTTAAAAGTATTTAATTGATGAATGTTCTAAGTCTAAACGTTAAGCTGATTTGCGATCGATTTTATACGGGGTGTCTCGAGTTATTCAGGGATAAAACGATTGAGAAACTGTTGATTTTGTTTAATTATTTGTTTGTTTGTTAAGGTCAAGACGTCGATTTGAGATCAATGGGAAACGTGACTGATCCGAGAATCAGACCGATGATGGTCGATCAGGATATGAGACAAATGCCGAACGTCATCCAGAATCCACTGCCGCCTACGATCAGTGAAAGGTAAATAAATAACGATGATTGTTAACCATAAAAAAAAGTTTGAAGGGAATTTTTTGAATAACTCGAAAGGTAAAAATCGAATAATAACAAGTTCAAGTATTTTTTTTCTCTCTTTTGCCAAGTCTTGCCAAAGCGGGAGATTCCAAAACCGATAAGTATGATTAATTCATTTATTTATCACCTCTTTCTTTCTACTATATTCCACGCTATATTTATTCTTGCATTTTATTTTATTTTTCGTAGCTTTTCGAGAGATCCCCGAAGCGCCACCGGCGGCTTCCCATCGGATCCGAGGCAAGCCAGGATGGACCCGAGACAAAAAAATATCGGTAAAAACACCATAACAAATAATCGACATTAATAAAATTATACGATTTTTTGCAGTACCTCCCGCCATCCAACAACCACCATCATCGGTGAATCCAAAATTGAATCAAGCGGGCCCCGTCCTGCCGCCGCCCGTCCGACCTGCGCAGAACGTCATCGCGCAATCAACGCCTACCGCGTCTGCCATATCTTCATCGTTGTCGTCGGGATCGGCAGGAGTGGGATCGGCGGGTGCCAATGTGATGAGTCCGGGTATCGGAGGAGCGGGTGCTACTGATCAGGAAAAAGTAGGAGTATTTCGCTCGTTGTTTGATTGTTATGCGGTTGTTAAAGTAATGAATAAGTCGGTTAAAGAGATTGATCGAATTGTAATGATTGTTAAGTGGGGGTTGAAGAGGTAGATTAGATTGTAATGGGGTGTAATTCTCTGCGAGTTATGTATGTGTGTTTCATGTGTTAATGTTGTTATATATTTTTTTTTCGTTATTTTCAGGCCGCCTTGATTATGCAAGTCCTCCAATTATCCGATGAGCAAATTGCGATGTTGCCGCCTGAACAGAGAAATAGCATTTTGGTGTTGAAAGAACAAATTGCGAAAAGTGCGCATGTCCGTTGAAAGGAAACGAAAAAGCTGCATAATTAATGAATAAACTTAAATTGTATGGATATTAGAATTAATAATTAAGAGGGGCGTTGAGCACTTCAACAGTCGCACCAATCGCCCCTAGAATCTAGTAATTTTTTTGTAGTTTCATTAATTGAACCAGATGGCGTTAGCGGTCTCAAAATTAAATTTTTAGCCAGGTTTTTAACCAATGAAATTCAGAAAATGTACTAACAGAGACTATTTTACAAAGTAAATGTATTGTCGCATTGTAAATACAGTAAATTTGCATAAGCAGGTAGTCCTTTATGATTGTCCGTCTAATCGTTTTCGACCCCTAACACTCTGGCGAATATTCTCTCTATTTTTGTAGCGGCGAAAATGCATTTTTGCTTTTAAAATTTACAAATTTAATTTTTAAAAACATTTACTTCACAATAATAAGGATAACACGATATTGATAGTGCCGTTGTGGATGCTAACGCTCGAGTGGTGATCGATTTGCAGGATTTCAAAGAAGCGAAATTGGACAGTCAGGTGACGAGGAAATATCTTCCTGCTTTAATGTCCTGCTGATGGTGGATGATCAAGTGAAATAGTTGAGCTCTAAATGCGTCTGACGACAAAGGCGAAGCCGCCTTTACGGTTATAGTTAGAACATTGTAAAATAAATTTTTACATATAAATATTGTTTTTTTAAATAAATAAATAAAACGTTTGAAGGATTTTACATAAAAAGGCATTTCGTTTTGAGATTTCTGAAAAATTGACAACGATTATGGATTTATAAGTTTTTAATGACCGAAATACTGGTTGCCTACCTACTAGTGTCCATAAATCGATTTTCCATCGATAAATGTAATTCTGGTTGTCTAACTATTGTATTAGTAAGGCGCGAGTAATAAGTATCAGGAGTAAACCTCTTCACACATTCTGTTCTCCTAATACGAAATTTCTAATTCGCAAATTTTTAACGAGAAATTTTCGAACGATGTACAAAACTATTCTTCCGATTTTTACAAATTGCATTGAAAAAGTCTTGCGGTTTTTTTTGTCAATAAACTCGACAAAACTTTTAACATTTTACTTATCATTTCTGCTATAAAGTATTAATAATAATAATGCCCAAAATGATAAATTTCTCTTGAAAATGTGTTTTGAAAAACGACGAAAGAATCTTTATTAATGCATTCATCCAGGACTTTCCCCAGATATACCTCTCGATATAATAAATATCTCCCGATACTGGACTTCCTAGCATATTCTCCTTGCCTAATATCCGAAATTTATCAACGGAGATCGACGAAAACTTGTGCTCAAATCTCGAATTAAAACGTGAATTTAAAATTTCGTATTAGGAGAACAGAATGTGCGAGGAGGTTTACTTATGACGCTTATTAATCGCGCTCCTGCTCGAAGTAATACATACAAAGGCAACCATTTAATCGAATTTCGGTAATTTTGGTTGCCTATCTATTGTATTAGTAAAGCGCGAGTAATAAGTATCAGGAGTAAACCTCTTCACACATTCTGCTCTCCTAATACGAATTCTTAAATTCGCGATTTATCGAGACATTTTCATACGTTTGACACAAACTACTCGAACTCCTAATATTTGTTTCTCCCGATCTTTTTGCTTTAATAGCTCCAGATTTTTACAAATTGCGTTGAAAAAGTTTTGCGTTTTTTTAATGAACGAAAAATACTAAGAATTCTAAAATCAGGATTAAGGATGCCATAAAAAAATTTTAATATTCTATTTTCGTATCATTTTTGTAATAAAGAATTATTAATAATGTCCAAAATGTTAAATTATCTTTGAAAATGTGTTTTCAAGAACGACGAAACATTTAGAATATTTATTAACGCATCAGCAGGATTCATCCAGGACCTTCCCTAGACGTATCTCTCTCGATATACTAAATATCTCCCGACATTGAACTTCCTTGCATATTCTCATTGCTTAATATCCGAAATTTATCAATGGAGATCGACGAAAACTTGTGCTCAAATCTCGAAATAAAACGTGAATTTGAAATTTCGTATTAGGAGAGCAGAATGTATGAAGAGGTTTACTCCTGATACTTATTACTCGCGCTTTACTAATACAATAGCTAGGCAACCAGAATTACAAAAATTCGATTAAATGGTTGCCTTTGTATGTATTTGTAATCGAACAGGAGCGCGATTAATAAGCGTCATAAGTAAACCTCTTCACACATTCTGCTCTCCTAATACGAAATTTTAAATTCACGTTTTATTTCGTGATTTAAACACAAGTTTTCGTAGATCTTCATTGATTAATTTCGGATATTAGGCAAGGAGAATATGCAAGGAAGTCTAGTAACAGGAGATATTTATTATATGGAGAGAGGTACTTCTACGGAAGGTCCTGGATGAAATTTATCATTTTGGGCATTATTATTGTTTTATAGTAGAAATGATGAGAAAGTCGAATGCTAAAAGTTTTGTCGAGTTTATTGAAAAAAAAACGCAACCTTTTTCAACGCAATTTGTAAAAATCGGAAGAATAGTTTTGTACATCGTTCGAAAATTTCTCGTTAAGAAATTGCGAATTTGAAATTTCGTAGTAGGAGAACAGAATGTGTGAAGAGGTTTACTCCTGATACTTAATACTCGCGCCTTACTAATACAATAGTTAGACAACCAGAATTACATTTATTGATCGAAAATCGATTTACGGATACTATTAGGTAGGCAACCTATTTATCTATTATATACCTCTAAGATACCAGAAATGCATTAGAAATGATTAAGTATGAACGATTTTTTATAAAAAATACATTTTACATTAAAATTTTTGAAAAATTAACAAAACTGCTGCATTTTTTAAATGCTAATTACATGAAAACTGGTTGGAATTGGCGATTTCAAAATATATAAAACAAAACACTTTCAACGATATTTTTATTTTCTTACAATAAACTCACTACCGTTAAATGCAACAAAATAGAGACAAAATATTAATATACAAAAAAGTTACAGGAGTAAAATCATCGATGTGTCGATCTCAATTCTTACACTTATTTCACACTTCTTCATGAAATTTTCCTTTTATGGTTTTGTATTCCTTCTCGGTTTGCCCGTTGAATTTCGTTAAGAGTCGATACAAATTCACCTACAAATCACAAATTATTACATACACTCCTATTATAACATAATAACGCTTTGAAATGCATACCTGAGGAATGTTGAAATAATATTCTCTCAGAAATTCATCGATAAACAAAATGGCGAAGGCAGTAGATCGCAAGATCTAAAAAAGGGGCTATTCCGTCTCAATTTCCGTAGATTATTGAACTGTCATTTTTCTTAATACCATCCAATGCTCAATCAAGGGCAATCAGGAACCAAAGACAAAAAAATCTATCGGATCTCCTACAAACAATAACTCAATTATAACAATAATTAAGCTTTGCTAACCCTGCTGAGTGAACTGAAACCTCTTTTAACTCAACGATACAACACCTTGGAGAGAATTTCTTGATACTCGTACATGCTCTGTGAGGTTCCTGGGATCCCACAATGTCCTCATAAGCTCGCCGAACCTCTGCAGGAGCAGATGGACGGTCTCTTTACATTACTGCAATTTTCTTCTCCTCTCGAGAAGTCATTCAGAAGCGAATTAACAAGTCAAAGCCTGCAATTTTGCGCATTTAAATTAAGAAATAACCAAATTCGTTCGGTTAACTCGACTTACCTGCAGCACTGCATTACAGTAATCGTTAGCTTTAATGTTATTTAGGCCTACTATACAGGGGATGTACAACGATGTACATCGATAGGTCTGGACAACTTCGTGGGATTCAACACATACTTCATATCATTTAAAGAGGAATCTATAACAAACCGTTTGATTACTTAATATTCCCACAATCATTATAACCCCTCTACCTATGATTTTATAATTGCCTGGTAAATAGTAGAATCCAAATATTGACACAAACTTACGTTACCTGCGGAAGATGGATTATGGATGTACTTTCCAGTTTTCCAGAATTCTCCTCCTCGTGGTGCATCCTAGGTAATGCTAAAGGGTCCGTCGGGCTTATATAATCGTGTGCAAACCCCCTAAATTAATTGCCAAAAAATTGTTGATTTATTTGACAAGAATCACTAACCTACAAACTTCTTCTTTTTTTATTCGGTAATAAAATAAGAAACTCAATGGCTGTCAAATGTCAATTACGGCCTTACATAACCAAGGTCTGGAAACTTCTTCATTGGTATGTCACGTTACTTGTCTACAAATGTTATAAATAGATATAAATTTGAAAGCATAGATCGTTCGTACGACAAAAGAAACCAAACATTTAACATGCAACCCAAATGCAACCCACATTACCAAAATATCATTTTCGGTATCCCCTAGCGGCAAATCGATGAAGTTTTTTCCAAAATCCAGACTTTTCGGTGTACAAATCTCAAAAAATATAAAGAATATCGTTTCCAAATTTTCGCAATACGTTTCTATTACCCATCGCTAGGTCATAAAGAATTTTGGTTACCGTCCGATAGAAAAAAAAACTGAAAAATGTCTACTTTCAAACGCTTGTAATTTCGTTATTTTTGCATAGATCGGTAAAAAAAACCCTTATGACCTACAGCAAGGTTCACTCTATCAGATGCGATTCATATTATATCTCAAAATTAAGTAAAAATTGAGATTTGTACACCGAAATATTGGGCTTATTTCCATTGCTGCCAACTGAAATTGGGTTACCAAATCTCAACGCCCCTCGACCTGAAATTACAACATGTCAAAAGTCAAAATAAAATAAGTTCCAATGTGACAGTGACCACCTTACAATCATCCTTGTCTATTACAGTACTAATGAATGTGTAAAAGAGATATGAAAATTAAAATAATCACATACAATATAATATTCCAAAAAACTAATTAAAACACAATTTAATAAAAAAAAGTCAAAAATTTTGCGATTTAAAAACGAACAGAATGCACCCGCAAAAAAAAAGAAACATTTCAAGACGACATCAAGTCTGGCCTGGACATTTTCTTCGTCTTAATCACGTCGTCGTCACATTTCAGCGCCTACGCGATTCGAAAAAATTCTTCGCTTTAACCTTAAAAAAACAATTTAGTTAATCAGAAAAGAAAAAACCAAATCGTAGGCGGCCGTTTCCTAATTTAAATCGTACCGAGTCGGCTATGATTCGGTCCGTTTTAGTTTCACCAAAAGCACGGCCTGCTTGTAATAAGTTTTTTTTAATCGATTTAAAACGGGCGTGTGATTCTGTTTTGTTTTCGTTTTTGGGGAGGGGATTTTTCGGAAAAAAATAGCACACTTTTGGGTTTTTTTTGTGATGTTTTTTCGTGGCGTTTTTGGAGCGATTTTTCTCGTTTTTTGAGCGGTTTTGAGAAGGTAAAATTATAGTTTATTTATTAGAAAAAGCAATAAAGAATTTTCCTGGAATGAAACGCATTAAAATTTACTCGATAATAAACAAACGGTGAAAATTTTTGGAAAATTCGACGCAATTCGAATGGAGTAAATTTTCGAAGAAATTTCCGTTTATTTTCTTTTGCGCTAAAAATACTCCAAATATTTCCAAATAGAAAAGCCCGATCAATTTCCCCAATGTCAAACAAACTATGTAGATCGGTTTAATAATTTTAATAATAATATTTATAATAATTGATCGATGAGTTTCTTGCATACGAAAATATACAAATCATAATATTAAATTATATTAGAAAAAATCGTAGTTTTTTATACAAGAAATAAATTAAAAACAATCACACAACATTAAAAAAATAAAATAAATGATTAAAAATCCATTTATTCTGCACTTCTTTTCATTAAAACATAGTCTAAACAAAATTGAATTTTAAATAGATCGATTTTCTAGTCAAAATAAACAATCGAAAATCGTCGGTTTGAAGGATTTTTTAGCCATAATAAAAACCGAAAATAAATCCAGAAAATTCACGAAATATTTATCGCATATACAGAGCGTTTATTGATTTAAAACAACCATATATCTTTTCTAATTAAACACCGAACGAAATTCGATACGTTTAATGTCTATTCGCTTTAGAGATCGATTTTCAAACTCGCATCACATTCAATAATCCCCCTAAACTCTTTGAATTCTCACACGAACCGGCAACGCCGCCGAATGGGTACCTGCAAAGGTAGGAGTGGGTAAAATCAGTCGAGCAGGCCTTGATAATTATAACAAGTGGCGTTTCCGGTGGTTTTCGAAAAGAGAAAAATGGGAGATTAACCGGAGGGATTTTAACATAGGGGATTATTAATGGGGTTTTAATGGGGTTTTGTTTTCGATAAGGACATCTCGGGAATCCCGGGAAATGTCGTAATCTCCAATAGAGTGGGAGGGTTGTTTATATATTATGGGGTGGTTTAATTTGTTTTGCATTTTTAGTACAAAACTGACTTTGTTTCCTTCGATTCCTGGTGTATACGAGGGTAGGGTGAATCGTTTAGAACTATCTAGAATCATTTAGAACACTCCAGAACCATTTAGAAGTGTCTAAAACCATTTAGAACACTCCAGAACCATTTAGAAGTGTCTAAAACCATTTAGAAAGCCCCCGAATCATTTATGAACTGTCTAAAACCATTTAGAACGCCCCAGAATCATTTAGAACTGTCTATAACTATTTAGATTGCTCCAGAATCATTCAGACCACTCCAGAACCATTTTGAACTGTCTAGAACCATTTAGTTTGCTCCCTAATCATTTAGAACTGTCTAAAACCATTTAGAACGCTCCAGAATCATTTAGAACTGTTTAGAACCATTTAGATTGCTCCAGAATCATTCAGATCACTCCAGAGAACCATTTAGAAATGTCTAAAACCATTTAGAATGCCCCATGAATCATTTAAAACTGTCTATAACTATTTAGGTTGCTCCATAATCATTCAGAACACTCCAAAACCATTTAGAACTGTCTAAAACCACTTAGAACGCTCTAGAATCATTCAGAACACTCCAGAGAACCATTTAGAACGCCCCAGAATAATTTAGAACTGTCTAAAACCATTTAGATTGCTCCAGAATCATTAGAACGTTCCTGAATCATTTAGAACTATCTGAAATCGTTTCGAACTGTCTAGGATTATTTAGAACTGTGTTAAATTATTTAAAACGCTCCACAACCATCAGGCCGAGAACTTTTCGCCCTACCCTCGTAACCAAATTTTTTTTATCCAAAATTTAATTAGTCTAGAATTTTTTGTGTTTCATTAGATATGATTTTTTTCTATGCAAATTATCTAGTAGGGTTCGTTGAAACAATTTTTCCCGTTTGTCCGGCAATCTGGGGATTTAAATATGTGGAAATTCGGCAACGCCGCGGTCGAAAACCAGGTAGAAAACGCGCAATCAAATCACCTTCGCCAGCGCAACTTAAACAGTCCTTTTTTTCAGTCTCTTTTCAGTCTCTCTGGTGATTTTACAGTTTCAATTTCGCGTTCGCTCGGCCAACTGAGACAATTTTCCGCATTTTCTGCGCGTTTCTCCATGAAAATTTCGACGGTTTTGCCGGGTTTTCCAAGTGTTTTGACCATGTGTTCGAGCGTGAAGTGATCCGGGTGAGATTTCGTGGCGATTTTCGAGGATTTTCGTGGATTTTTCTGGATTTTTGAGGATTCCGAAGCGATCGGGGATCTTTCGAAAAGGTATTTGTCGAGTTTTTTATTTCGAAATTTGCGGATTTTGCTTTTAAATTGATGAAAATAGCGGAGAAAATTGAGGAATTTAGTGTAAAAAATTGTGAAAAATATTTACTCCCCTCGTATCAGCGGGGAAACTATATAGAGGATCTTATGTAGGGTAGGATAAAAAATTTTGAAGTTAATTCAAAAATTCGAACAAATGATTGTTAAAAAAGCCAAAAAGTACAAATGGCAAGAATTGACATAATCAAAAAAAATCCAAAAATTCTCCAAAATTGAATTTTTCTGCTACTATAACATTCCCCACAACCTCTCTTAATCCCTATAGTTAATTTTACCTTTTACGAAAATCCCTTTTTTCCATTCTAATTAAATCCTTTCTAATCCTTTTTCAATATTTCTCGAATCCCTCGAAATATTTTTGGGGAATTTTACATTAGGAGATTCCCCGAAAATTCCTCTCGAAAACAAACATTCAAATTCCCCACTGAAATCCGCCCATTTAATTCCAGTTAAATTAAACGGATAATAATAATAACATTAGAAAATAAATCTCCCTGTTTATAAAATAAACAAAAAGAAAAATGAAAATGAATAGTCGCTTCTCGTTTGTTTTGCAATATTATCATCAGACAGCTCGGCGCTCGCAGATCAAGTTACCCGGGTAAATAGGTCTGGTTATTCGATTGTTTTATTCAATTTATTAAATTCAACTCTTACATACGTCACGATATTATTATTTCATTAAATATGCGGAATATTTTAATAGCGAAAAAAATATTTATTTATTTATTTATTGTCTCTCTATTTGTACAGGTGTTCGAATAAGAGAATTTACGCGAATAAATTAAATTATAAATTCCGCACTTTAATCGATTCGTTAAAATATCGAGGAAATTTAATTGAATCCGCCATTTTCTTTTTCGAATTGCGTTTTCCGCGAATGTTTCAATTAAATTCTCAAGAGTTTTTATTACACGATAATTATTCGAAAATGTCGATAAACAAATAGAATTCGAGTAGGCTATTGAAAACTTCTGAAAAATCGATGAAAAAAATGAATAAAAAATAATATATAAAATAAAATCCGAGTTGGCTGCGGCCCGGCCGATCGCCTTCGGTGAGGTCAAGTCGTCCATGGACTGGTTCACCTTTCTGACGAACACGCTGTATATTATATTATATACGGGTGGGAGAGAGAGAAAGCTGGTGTTTCTCTTACGTATTTACCCAAATATTTCTCTCTTATATATGTTATATGTGTGTGTGTGTAATGATTTTGTGTAAGGATCCAGTGAGTCTGTAGTAGTCGAGGCGACGTTGCCGGATCGTCGAGATTTTATTTAAAAATTCGGTTTTTTTCGCTCGATTTTTTCCTCAATTTTTACGCTCGTTTTTTTCTACCCGTATGATTCATTCGATTCGAATCGATTAATTGTTAATAAACAATCGATTAGAAACAAAACAAATTCAATGTAATTGATATCGCGTTTGTTTTTTTGTCGAAATCTTATTCGTAATATATAATTAGATAAATATACATTTAATCTTTGGAAATGATTCATTTTCGTTCGTGATTCATTCGAAATTCAATGCAATTTTTCTCCCTGCAACTTATTTATCCGCACATTTACCCCGATTACAATCCCCCAACACTCCCACACTCACCCCCGATTCACTCTGACAATCTATATTCTATCGAATTTTTGCCCTACTCACCCCCAACTTAGATCTGTGCTTTCCAATATTTCGCCCTATTCACCCCCAACATTTACACTTCCTCACTCATCCCTATACCATTTTGTTTTCCACACATTTCCCCCCACATTTTCTCCTCTTTTACCCCCTTTACTCATCACCTGTATGCCCATTTACTTATCCCTACTCACCCCTAACCTTTACACATCCCCACTCCCCCTATAACATTTTATTTTCACTCATTCCCCCATTTGTAGCCCCCTTAACTTTAACTTCCCTCTATATATACTCGCTCACTCATCCATTTTCATATACTAGGTCTTATACTAGGTCATTACCAGGTACTAAGAATTCTTGCACCAGGTCTATTTACCAAGTGTACTAGATTTTTTTTGAGCAATTCTCCCATAGGTTTCAATTTAACGTGTACAACTAGGCCCCCAACTAGGGCGCCCAACTAGGCCCTAAACTAGGCCTCACAACTAGGCCCCCATAATGCTGTATACTAGTTCCGTACTATGTCTCTGCTATTAGACTTTGTCTATTTACCAAAACGTACTAGATCTTTTTGATTAGTTCCCCAATAGGTCATAACTAAGCCTGTACTAGGCCTCACAACTAGGTTAAATAATGTCTCTACTATTTCCGTACTATGTCCTATACTAAGTCTCTACTAGGCTTTATAGGAATTACATGCACCAGGTCTATTTACCAAATATACTAGATTTTTTTGAATAATTCTCCCATAGGTCTCAAGTAAGCGTGTACTAGGCCTCACAACTATGTCCCCATAATGCTATATACTAGTTCTGTACTATGTCTCTGCTACTACGCCTTAAGAATACTTGCACCAGGTCTATTTACCAAAATGTACTAGAATTTTTTGAATAATTCTCCCATAGGTCTCATCTAATCGTGTACTAGGCCTCACAACTATATCCCCATAATGCTATATACTAGTTCTGTACTATGTCTCTGCTACTACGCCTTAAGAATACTTGCAACAGGTATATTTACCAAAATGTAATAGAATTTTTTGAATAATTCTCCCATAGGTCTCATCTAATCGTGTACTAGGCCTCACAACTATGTCCCCATAATGCTATATACTAGTTCTGTACTATGTCTCTGCTACTACGCCTTAAGAATACTTGCACCAGGTCTATTTACCAAAATGTACCAGAATTTTTTGAATAATTCTCCCATAGGTCTCAACTAATCGTGTACTAGGCCCGTGTACCCTACTCACCCCTAACTTTAACACATCCCCACTCACCCCTACAACATTTTATAGCCCCCTTAACTTCCCTCTATACATATATACTCACTTACTCATCCATTTTCTTTTTTTGTTCCAGACCCCCCAACCACACAAGTACCCCACTCGCCCCCCCCATCCCCTGCCAGGCCATCATGTCGACGACGAGCACCGGCAACGGCGCCATCTGGCTCGCCCTCGTCGCCCTGCTCAATTGCCGCACCACATCGTCGTCGTCGTCTTCGTCGTCGTCGTCGGCTCCCCCGGGTCCCCACCCGGTGCACCATCATCTCCAGATCGATCTGCTCGAGGCGCAGCTCCTGCGATCGTTGGGCTTCAACGGCAGGCCGCGCGTCGACCGGGCCGACGTCGTCGTGCCCGAGGCCATGGTGGAGTTGTACGAGAGACAGATGGAGGTGCCCGTGGAGACGACGTCCATACCGAAGAGGGGCTGGCACACGAAGAACGCCAACACCGTCAGGAGTTTCACGCACGTCGGTAGGTACTCAAACGCTATTTACTAGGTCTTATACTAGGTCTTATACTAGGTCTTATATTAGGTCTTATACTAGGCCCTATACTATGTCCTATACTAGGTCCTATACTAGGTCTTTTACTAGGCCTTTTACTAGGTCTTATACTAGGTCTTATACTAGGTCTTAAACTAGCTCTCATACTAGGTCTTACACTATGTCTTAAACTAGCTCTTATACTAGGTCTTAAACTAGCTCTTGTACTAGATCTTATACTAGGTCACTACCATGTCCTTAGAATACTTGCAACAGGTATATTTACCAAATGTACTAGAATTTTGTGAATAATTCTCCCATAGGTCTCATCTGAGCGTGTACTAGGCCTCACAACTATATCCCCATAATGCTACCTACTAGTTCTGTACTAGTTCTCTGCTACTGGGCCTTAAAAATACTTGCAACAGGTATATTTACCAAAATGTAATAGAATTTTTTGAATAATTCTCCCATAGGTCTCATCTAAGCGTGTACTAGGCCTCACAACTATATCCCCATAATGCTATATACTAGTTCTGTACTAGTTCTTTGCTACTGGGCCTTAAGAATACTTGCAACAGGTATATTTACGAAAATGTAATAGAATTTTTTGAATAATTCTCCCATAGGTCTCATCTGAGCGTGTACTAGGCCTCACAACTATATCCCCATAATGCTATATACTAGTTCTGTACTAGTTCTTTGCTACTGGGCCTTAAGAATACTTGCAACAGGTATATTTACCAAATGTACTAGAATTTTTTTAATACTTCTCCCATAGGTCTCATCTAAACGTGTACTAGGCCTCACAAATATATCCCCATAATGCTACATACTAGTTCTGTACTAGTTCTCTGCTACTGGGCCTTAAGAATACTTACAACAGGTATATTTACCAAAATGTAATAGAATTTTTTGAATAATTCTCCCATAGGTCTCATCTAAGCGTGTACTAGGGCTCACAACTATATCCCCATAATGCTATATACTAGTTCTGTACTAGTTCTCTGCTACTGGGCCTTAAGAATACTTGCAACAGGTATATTTACCAAAATGTAATGGAATTTTTTGAATAATTCTCCCATAGGTCTCATCTGAGCGTGTACTAGGCCTCACAACTATATCCCCATAATGCTATATACTAGTTCTGTACTAGTTCTCTGCTACTGGGCCTTAAGAATACTTGCACTTACCAAATGGACTAGATCTTTTTGATCAGCTTCCCAATAGGACACAACTAAGCCTGTAATAGGTCTCTTAACTAGGTCCCCATCAGGTCTCTACTACTTCCGTACTACGTCCTATACTAGGTATCTACTAGGCTTTATAAGAATTACTTGCATCAGGTCTATTTACCAAACGTACTAGATCTTTTTGATTAGTTTCCCAATAGGTCACCACCAGCCTTTACTAAGCCTCTCAACTAGGTCACCACCTCTAATAGCTAATCTTTTTGCTGCTATACCTCCATTCACCGAAGCCGTTTTTGTTCCAGAAAGCCCCATCGACTCGAGGTTCACCGCCCCCACCAGGTTCCGGCTCAAATTCGACCTAGCATCGGTACCGACCACGGAGAGCGTCACCGCCGCCGAATTGACGTTGACGCGCCGACAGCTGCCCCACAGCCAGTTGCACCGGGTCCTGGTGAGCGACATCACCAGGCCGGGGGTCAAGGGACGGTACCCGCCCATCACGCGCCTCATCGACACCAAGCTGGTGGACACCAGATCGAACGGTACGGTCAGCTTGGACGTGTTTCCGGCGGTGCAAAGGTGGCTGGAGGACCCCAAGGGGAACTATGGGATCTTGGTGACCGTGAAACGGGTCAAACTAGATCGTGGTGCTGTTGAAGATGATGTCCAAAACGATACTAGGGCTGCTAAAGAAGATGTTCAAACTCGTGCAGAAGCCCCGCAAAGAGGGGAAAAATCTGTACAAAACGCACCAGAGGACCTACAAAACCTCATGCAAACCCCAGCAAAAGTCCCACAAAGAGGAGATAAATCTGTCCGAAACGTCCCATTTTCCTCCGAAGAAGAAAACCTCATGCAAACCCTATCAGAAGCCTCACAAAGAGGAGAAAAATCTGTACAAAGCGCCCCATTTTCCTCCGAAGAAGAAGACCTCATGCAAACCCCAGCAGAATCCCCACAAAGAGTACAATCATCTGTCCAAAACGCACCAGAGGACCTCCAAAACCCCATGCAAACCCCAGCAGAATCCCCACAAAGAGTACAATCACCTGTCCAAAACGCACCAGAGGACCTCCAAAACCCCATGCGAACCCCAGCAGAAGCCCCACGAAGAGCCTCATCAGACGAGGACCAGCACCACGTGCGCCTGCGCCGCGGCGCCGGCGACCCGCCCTCCACCTGGCGCCGCCTCCAGCCCGTCCTCTTCACCTACACCGCCGATCCGACGGCTTCGAGGGGCGCCGCGACGGCCCGCCCGCGGCCCCGCCGCCGTCGCAACTCCAAGAAATCCTCGCACCGTTCGAAGCAGGACAAGCGGTACCCGTGCAACAGGCACCAGATGTACGTGGACTTCCAGGAGGTGGGCTGGAGCGATTGGATCGTCGCCCCGCCCGGCTACGACGCCTTCTACTGCAGGGGCGAGTGCGACTTCCCGCTGGCCGCCCATTTGAACACCACCAATCACGCCATCGTGCAGACGCTGATGAATTCGGTGAATCCGCAGAAGGTGCCGAAGGCGTGCTGCGTGCCCACCCACCTGAACCCCATCTCGATGCTGTATTTGGACGAGGAGGGGAAGGTGGTGTTGAAGAACTACAAGGATATGGTGGTGGTGGGTTGCGGGTGCAGGTAGAAGGGGCTTGGGTTTCGGCTGCGCTAGGTCCTGGTGCTCCCGCAGGAGGTGTGTTTTTGTGAGGGTGTTTTTTCTTTGCGGTGGATTCGGAGGAGGCGTGGGGGAGTTGTTGGGGAGCTTCTTCGAGGAGGTGTGGGTGCACCAGGTCGGTTTTTTTGGCATTTTTGAGGCTAATTAAGTTAAGGAAAGGAGTTGTTTCGGTCCCAGTGAAAAAAAATTGACTGTTGTTTTTTTTTTTCGACTCATTTTTAGTTTTTTTTTTTTCGTTCCATCTGTGATTTTAATTTTAGTGTATTTTTAATATTATTATTACTATCATATAGGAAAAAATATTGTATTTTATTATGCTAGAAATAACCGAAATATTTTGCAGAAATAAATTTTTATAATTTCTAGTCTTTATTTAGATTATTTTTCGGCACACTTTGTACAAAAATTTTTTGTATAATTTTTCTCTAGTAATTAACAGAGAAATAATAAGTTGAGAAATTATAATTTTTTTTCTTCAGAAATTTAATGAACTAGTATATACAGGGTGGTTAAAAAAAGCAAGACAAAACTACTATTAATCCGAATTTTATTTTAACAACCCTGTATATATTTATAATAAAAGAAATTAAGTCATCTGTAAAATATATTTATATAATTATAAATAAAAGTAAATTTAGGGCGAATATTTATTGAAAAAAAATATTGTACAGATTTTTTTTTGAAATTCGGCGGAAAATTTTTTTTGGAAATGTATTTAAAAAAAACGGTTAAAATTTTCCGCCGAAATGGATATTTTTTTGTAAATTGTACGAGCAAATTTTAAATATATTTTTTTAATTTGTAAAATTTTGAATATTTTGTATAAACTGTATATAATTAATTAATTAAAAAATATTTTATTATATATTATATTTTGTTTTTTTTAATAGTTTGACTTTAATAGAGTTGATTAAAAATTCGTGAAAAATCCATTTAAAATGTAAAAAAAAACTTGTCAAAATAATCTTGAAAAAAATCATTCAAAATCGTCTAAGAAAAATCAATTAAAAATCAATAAAATTAACCGAAACAAAATCTTGAAAAAATGATCAAAAATACCCCAAAACCCGCCCCAAAAATTAACCGAAAAAACGCCATAAAAATTTAAAAGACACCCTGTATACCCCGTAAGAAGAACCAAAGATGAAACAAAAAAAAAATTGAAGACCACACCGTGTCACAGCCATCTATGATCCGGACGCATTCCGGCCGCTCTTTTATCTTAAAAGAAACTCCGGGGTGGCCGTGACTCACTTTTTCGGGCCACTCTGCTGGCCTTTTATGTCGTCTTTCTACCGCCACCACGTGGGCGGTACACCGATAATAATAATACCCATCTAGAAGGCTTCGGAAGAACAAAAAATCCACAAATTTCGCCTCGTTTTTATTATTTTTTCCAAATTTTCGTAACGTATCTAGAAGGCCTTGGATTGGAAATTTTCTACTCGTATTTATACGAGGGAAGGCGAAAATGTAGCGGAAAAATCACCCATTCCACGGCCGCCTTTGTGTGTTTTTTTTACCCTCTTAGAAAGCTTTAGAAGAACTCTGAATTTTGCTTAAATTTTTTTCCGAAATTTTCATCTAGAAGCTGCGAAAGAACAGAAAAATTCGCCCGATTTTTTTTCTACTTGTATATACGAGGGATGGCGAAAATGTAGCGTAAAAATCACCCATTCCACGGCCACCTATGTATGTTTTTTTTCACCCTCTTAGAAAGCTTTAGAACTCTAAATTTTGCTTAATTTTTTTTTCGAAATTTTCATCTAGATAACTACGGAAGAACAAAAAATTTCGCCCAATTTTTTTTCTACTTGTATATACGAGGGATGGCGAAAATGTAGCGTAAAATTCACCCATTCCACGGCCACCTATGTGTGTTTTTTTACCCTCTTAGAAAGCTTTAGAAGAACTCTAAATTTTGCTTAATTTTTTTTCGAAATTTTCATCTAGAAAGCTGCGGAAAACCAAAAAATTTCGCCCGATTTTTTTTCTACTAGTATATACGAGGGATGGCGAAAAATCAGCGTAAAAATCACCCATTCCACGGCCACCTGTGTGGTTTTTTTTACCCTATTATCACTGAATCATCAAAGCAATCGCGCCCATTCTCCTTCTCTCTTACTCGTCCGTTTCTCCCTCTTTCTCTCGATGCTAATTTGTCTTGTCTTCGATGTTCTTTTGTCCGGATGCGCTCCGTCGATTGTTTCTTTATTTTTTTGGGACGTCTTTATTTCTCTATTATTATCTAGAGCTCTCTTTATCTAATTCGTCCACCCGCTATGTTATTAGTGTTTCGTTTTGTAGAAGGCTGGGGTAAGAGAGGGAGAGAGAGGATAATTATGATTATTATTATTATTACTAAGGTGGCTACATTTTTTTATTAATTTTTCATACAAATGGAATAAAAATGTACTTAAATAAAGGCGTATTGTAGAAATCCTAGTAGGCTATAGTGATTTTATGAATGAAAGGCCGTGTAAATATTTTCGAGTATTTTTTTCGAGTATTTTCGCCCGAATAATGAGCAGTAAAAGGCCGTAAAAGTGAAGTACCTGTTAAAACCCGAACAAAGGACCTTTTTGTTCGTCGAGTGTTATACAGGATGTTCTTTTTGGGTGGTTATTTTTCGAGGAAAAAAATTGTGAAAAAATTGCTGAAATTTGGTCAAAAATTTGTTCTTAAAATGGTGGAAAAATTGATAAAAAAACGCACTAAAAATTGTATTAAATTCATTAAGAAAATATTTTCTAAAAATGGGGGAAAACGACCAAAAATTTGCAAAAAAACTGCTGAAATTTGATAAACAATATGTTCCTTAAATGGTGGAAAAATGATCAAAAAATTGTAAAAAACCTACTAAAAATTGAACTAAAATTGATTAAAAATTTGCAAAAAAATTGACAAAAATTTCAGTAAAATAAAAACAAAAAAATTCGAACCGGTTCTGTTCGAAAAAATTCCAAAATCTTCTTCGACACATTCGTATACAAAGCGTACCGATGATGAGTGTACACGAAACGTCCCAGATAATCCCCGATAATTGTTCAAGAGAACAATAAAAGCCCTCGAAAATGTCGAAAATAAAATAAGGAGAACAAAAAATGGAAAAGGAAGGTCTGAGAAAAGCCGACCGGAAGTTGTTGTAATTTCGAAAAGTAGGAAAGGTAAAAGAGCATGAATTTGCACTTAACTTTTATTGTACAGGTAAATGTGTCGGAAAAGATTCGGAATTTTTACGAACAGGACCGGCTCCAATTATTTTTTTTTTTGCTAAATTTTTCAATGATTTTTAGCTGTTTTTTTTATGAGTTTTTGACCGTTTTTTAACGAATTTTACTCCTGCTCTTTTTTCATGAATTTTCGATTAATTTTCTTTACTATTTTTTGTGCATTTTTTATAATCGTTTTTATTATTTTTCAACAAACTTTTATAAATATTTGATTATGTTTTTTATAATTTTTGAAAGATTTTATTAAAGAATTTTATATTTTTTAATTCTTATTTAACACTATTCTTTCAGATTTTTAACATATTTTTTATGTTTAAAAGATTTTTATATAGAACTTTTTAATTTATTTTTAACACCCTTCTTTATGATTTTTTAACATTTTTTCCAAGCTTTTTCTACCAATTTTTTTCTATAAATATTCCCACCACTTCTAGAAAATATTTTAACAAATTTTCGTAAATGTCACAATTCGAATTTTTCACAAATTTCGGGCCAATAATTTTTCCATGCCTACTTAGACGAGCATACGCTGGTAGATAAAACGACCTACCGGTAGGCCGAACGACAATTAACATTCCTCAAGAGACCCGCCTGATCATCATCATCATCATGCATCATCATCACGTTGCCTTCGAAACAAAGACATCCGTGGAAATTGTATGTGTTTAAGTTGGCATTCCTGTCTTTCTCATTTTTTTTTTATTATTTATTCATTTTTTTTACTATTTTTATTACGCATAGGCGCACCATTTACCGGGGTGCTACAACAAATACATAATTATACAAATAATCACGTTGGCTTTGAAACAAAAAATAGTTTCGTTATCCATAGGCGCACCTACCAGGGCGGTAAAACAAATACGTAAATAAATAAATTAAAAGCGAAAAAAAAAATCTTTCGGAAAAAAATAACGTGTTAATGCATATTTATCCTTCCATTTTGGAGCCGAAACGCTAATTGAATTAAATTTCTAATCTCGTTAAACGTACACGCTGTTTGTTGTTACTTAACCGTCGGTTTATTTAACAATTAGTTAACCAGTTAACGAGTCGAATGGAAATGGAATTATTTTTTTCGGAAATTTTCCATACAATTTTTCGCGTTATTTCACGCCATTTTAACGAACCGATTTAACAATCGAATAAATTACGAACAAATAAATATTCAAAATCTTATAATAACACTATTTATATACTTATATATACAATTACAAAACTATATACATACATATGTATAAACACACACACGAGTTAGACCGGCCGGGGCCGGCGAGGGGGGCGCGGGGAGGGGAGGGGGAGGGGGGAGGCGAAGCGAGCGGGGGGGCAGAGAGATAGATAGAGAGCTAGAGAGATAGATAGAGAGAGAGAGAGAGCGCGCGTTAATACAGCAGGTGAGTCGAGTTGGCTCGTTTTCGAGGAGATATCGGCCAGGTGCAGAGCCCGGGGGCACCGCCGGCATTCCGGGCGTTCCGGGCGTTCCGGGCGCACACGAGAGAGTGGAGACCGGTCGCGGTGAAAGAGAGAAAGAGACGGCGCATACGCCAGAAACGGGCGTGCGAAAGAGAGCGACGGGAGATGTACCGGTAGAGCGACAGGTGAGAGAGAAAGATGGCGGTACGCGGAGAGACGGGCGAGCGAGAGAGACGGTGTTGTGTTTGCTTTGATCTCTGGTGGTTGAGAGAGAGGGGGTGTGTGAGAGAGAGGATGGGCATGGGCGTGCGGTTGGGGGTTTTTACGATGGGAAAATAGGATAGAATGGAGTCGAATAAATGGCGCTAATTAGGAGGTTTTATTGGGAGACAGTTGTGAGAGAAAGATGGAGGTATGTGGAGAGACGGGTGAGCGAGAGAGAGAGGGATTTGTGTGTGCTTTGATTTGGTGTTCTAGAAAGAGATGGGGTGAGAGTAAGAGGATTATCATAAGCGTGCGATTGGGGAGGTTTTTACGCGAAAAAATGGCGCCAAAAATATACGAAAAGTAGCAAAAAAATATTAACTAAACTAACGAGAAATGGGATAAAAGACAGATCGAATGAACGGCGCAAAATAAATAAATAAATAAATAAACAAATATGGAGCCAATTACGAAACAATCGGCACCCAGGTGGTCCCCCGAACGGCATTCCTTCTTTTTTTTTTTCGTCTTCTTTTTTTCTCTGCGGGGGGCCCGAGACAAATCATTCAATATCTTCCTTGTGCGGTCCGAGCAGGCCGCGCGTTCGCTTGCCGATTTTCTTTTGTTTTTCTATACGTCACAAAAACAACCGACTGCCGTTTTTTTCGTGTCTTTTTTTTACGACCTCTCTCTCACAGTATCTGTCTCTCTATCGAAGTGGGCCGTGCATTTCGCTAACTGAGATTGGGCTTGTTTTCATTAACGTTTAATTGAATAGAATTTGTAGAAGTTTTGAGGATTTTTATTCTACATTTTCGGATTTATTTTTGTATTTTAGTTAGTTGGGAAATGGAAAAAAATACATATTTCTGATTGTCAAATTTTCATCTATTTCGTCAACAATTTATCATTAACAAAAATACAAGTATAAAAAAATCGAATAAATTAAACAAATATTGCTTAAGTAAAATTTAATAAGTATTAAAAATAATAAGTAACATAAATAAAATTTCCGTTTTTTTATACATTTTATTTATTTATATAATAAGGTGTCTTTTTTTCGCTTATTTTGGACATTATTTTTTTCACAAACACCCTGTATAATACACGAATTTCTCGACCAAAAATTTACAACAAAAATATCGAAATAATAATACTAATAATAAATGGGAAGACTTTTATCTTATCATCAACTAAACTTTTCAAAATTAATCCAATTATCCGATTCAATATTATCGAGTAAACGTGGAATTTCGAACGGAATATTTGAAAAAAATCCACGTTTACACAGAACTTTGAAAACAAAAAATCGACAATAATAAAAAAAAATAATTAAATTTTATTTACTCCATTTGGGCTTGATTTTCTTGAACAACCACTGTTGATATGCATTGTTGATGTCGCACGGCATCAGCGAGAGGTGCATCGTTTGCGGGTGCAACGCCATGCATTTCCTATGCACTCTAGATATTGAAAAAAGAAAAAATAAATAAATAAATTCAAAAGTAAATTGGTCGATTTTTGATGAAATGTTGATTTCATTAGCTCGTAACTCAAAAAGTATTCGAGATATCGACTTCTAGTTCGAGCCTTTTTATAGAAAAATCCTTTCTCTTTAAATTTGCGGGTGTGGAAAATTTGCGAAAATTGTTTGGTTTTCGAGATATTTCGAGTTTTTTGAATAGGTTGTATATACCAAAATGAATAAATTCACTGCAAATCTTTAAAAAAATACTAATTATCTCGAAAAGTTATCGAGATATTTTCCTCACAATTTTACCATTTTATAGAAAAATCCTTCCTCTTCAACTTTGCAAGTACAAAAATTTTCAAAAATCTTATAACTTTCGAGATATTTCGAAATTTCATAGATTGCATATACCAAAATGCAATTCTCTAAGCAAAAAATCCCAATTAACTCGAAAACTAATCGAGTTATCTCCCTCAAACTTTCACTATTTTATAGAAAAAACCTCCTTCTTCAACTAAACCAAAATAAAAAAAATCCAAAAATCGCGCACTTTTTGATATTTACAATTTTCCCCCCCAAATGCCAATTTCAATGCAATCTCCACTCTAAACAAAACCCCAATTATCTCGAAAACCAATCAAGACATCACCCTCAAACCTTCACCACATCATAGAAAACCCCTCCCTCCACCTCACCTCACAACCCCAACCTCCCTCAAACCGCCCCCGCAACCCCCAACTCGCCTCCAAACCCGCACTCACCTGTGCAACAACGTATAACTATTATCATCGTACACCCAAGGCCCGTCCGCCGTCCCCAACCTACAAAAGGTCAACTTCACCCCCTGACTGTCCGCCTCTATGCACCTTTCACCCACCCCCAGCTGCCCCTTGGCGTTCAACCTCATCAACTGATTGTTCCCGAAACCGTGACAATGTTGCACGGCCATCAGCGAAGGCGGCGCCTGACCTTGCGTATCCAGACACTTAGAAGCCGCCACCGACCTGAAATATATCACCAATTAATTACAAATAATCGATTAATTAAGTATATAAATTACCTCAATTCTCCTACTTTTAGGTTAACCGGCAACACCGGATACTTCTCCAACACATCGTACGCCACGTTCTCCATAAACCACTCGAAACTCTTGCACTTCAATCGATCTTTCAAAGCCAACTGCTCGCTTATGTCGCCCATATCGAGGTACTCCGCCATGGGTTCCCTCGCGTAGAAATGCGCCTTGTAGGATTCATCGAACCAAGTCTCCACCACACGTTTGTAGTTCCTCGTGATGAGCGGTCCGCGATTCTTCTTGGCCAAATCGCCGAAATTGTAGGGCATGAAGCTCCTGTAGACGTGACCGACGCGCGAACACGGCACCCACAAAATGGCGCCGCCGCATTGCCAGATCTTGAAGCTCAGCTCGAAGTTCTCGCCGCCCCACACCAACAGACCAGGATCGTAGCCGCCTAAATGGAGGAAATACTCGCGGTTTATGGCGAATAGACCGCCGGCGTGCGTGGGGCTCTTGTAGGGCTCGCTGTGGTGCTCGCGCGTCGATAGTTCTTTAGATGGTACTTCGTTTTCTTTGTATAGCATGCCCCATTCGAAGATGCCTCGATAGTGGTGGGAATCGGAGTAGACTGGTCGGTACTGGAAGGTCTTGTGATCGATGCCGTCGATGATGGGAACCGTCATAGTGGTGGAATCGAGCGCTATGGGGGCCAACAACGGAGGCAACCAATTGGTGTTCACCTCGCAATGGGCGTCTAGTAAACAGAATTAGTATCGTGTAGTGGGTATACAACGATCGAGATCTCACCTAAAAACACGATGACTTCACCCACGGCCTCCTTAGCGCCTCTGGATCGCGTCCGGATCAGACCCTCTCGTTGGTTGTTCCGGATCAATCGCACCTTCCCGTCGAACCGACCGATGTAATCCTCCAGCTTCCCCTTCAGCGATTCCTTGTCGCTGAAATCGTCCACCAGGAGGATCTCCTGCAGGAACTGCGGCGGGGACCGGTTGAGCACCGAATGGACGGTGCGCATCAGCACGGAGAATCCCTCGTTGTGGAACACGATGATGACGGAGGTGGTGGGGAGGCGTTCGGGGTAGGCCCAGTGCTTGCACTCCGGCAGGCGGGTGTCTGGAACAGCGGGCGAATCGGTTGGAATTCGGTGGGAGATTGAGGTTAAGTGGGCTCACCTACGATGCTGCGATCGAGGGATATTTCGTCGGAGCAGGCCACGTTCATGCCGTATTCGGCCTCCGATTGATCGGCGGCGTTGCTTTGGTCTTGCCGCAGGTGGTGGGCTTCGCCCCTTTCGCCGGGGCCTTCTCTGGGTTGGGTTTCTTGGGGTTCGAAGTTGCCCAGGCCTTGCACTAATTTGGGCTTTTCCGTATACACTAGCGGTGCTTTTCTAACGCTGTCTTTGTCCTTTCTGTCGTAGGAGAATAGTAGATAGAGGACAGATAATAATACTAAGGCTAATGTGATGAGTCTCAGATACCGGGATTTCCTGCCTAATGATAACAACATGTTGGTTTTGTTTCGTCGATTTCTTCGGTTTTACTAGCTGGAAATCGTTGATTTGTGCCTGGAAAATGATTAGAAAGATGTAAAAAATGTGTAGAATTGTTATTTTTATATAAGTTTACGGTATTTTGTTGAATTTATTCATTAATATCACCAGTGACAGGTCGATTTGTAAACGTAAACAAATCGGCTCCATGGCATTTTGACATATGTGGAAACTTCACGTCCACGTCGGTTTTTTGACATTGTTTCAACTTCACTTCACTCTTTACACATACAAGACATATTAAAAAGTGATATTTAATTTAATTAACGGCTAAAACATCCTTCAATTTGCTTGAAAAAAACGGTAAAAGTAAGTTAATTTTTCTTGGTATGATAGAAAAGTACCGAATGCCGAATAGTAACAGGCCATTTGTTAGTTGTAGCTAACTTTACACCACTAAAATTACATGGAAGAAAAACCGAATTACTGGATTCTGTTAGAGAAATATTTAACGTATTTTCGCGATTATAACGATATAAACACCTGATTTACTCTCGGAAATCTACGAGTATCTTCTAGAGAATATTTTACAATGGATATTAATGCCAAAAAGTAAATAAGTAAGTAAATTCAATCATACATAACCTCAACTTCCCACTAACTATCTGTACAGGCGGAATTTTAAAGATGATTTTCATGTGGAATGCGGAAATATGGAGAGTTTTCCAGATAAAATAGCCGAAATATGTTTGAAATGCTTCGAAAATCTACCAAAAACCGGCAAACCTGGATCACAAGAATGGACCGTTTTATCAGGAATTGTTCGGGAACTCGAAGGAAACCTGGCTGTTGTAGCTTTAGGTACAGGATCGAAATGCATAGGGAGATCGAAAATGTCTAAAAACGGGGACATACTGAACGATTCCCACGCTGAAATTATATGCAAAAGGTCGTTTATTCGTTACATTTACTCTCAACTTGAACACGGAGGAGGTTCGTACTCGCATTATTTGTAGTAATACGAAATAAATAGCATTTATTTTTAGATAGTTTTGTGTGGGACGAAAATAGGAAGAAATTCAGTTTAAAAAACGGGGTAAAATTCCATTTTTTCACTACGCAAACTCCCTGCGGAGATGCTTCGATATTCCCCGAGCAAATCGATCACGAGATAGGAGAAGTGATTGAAGAAATACCCAGTAAAAGGCCGAAACTTGAAATACAGGAGAATTACGAAGAAAATTCGGGAAAACCTCGGAAAATCCACAAAACCGGTGGGAAAAGTTTACTAGAACATTCCCCTGATATAAATTGCGAATTAATGGGACTCGTCCGAACTAAACCAGGTAACCTATAATTATTTTATTAATTATTAAATGTTCTTTACGATTTATTATTAATATATTTGTGTTTTTTTAAAGGTAGAGGAGATCCCACTTTGTCCGTATCGTGCAGCGATAAACTGTCCAAATGGGTCCATTTAGGCCTGCAAGGGGCACTTTTATCATCGATTTTGACAGACCCCGTATATTTACAAAGCTTCACCATCTTATCGAGCGCCCCGTTTAACGAGACCGCTTTAAATAGGGCTTTATACGACAGATTGGGGCCCATCGAGTTGCCCGCTCCCTTTCGAAGAACTCGTGTAGAGATCCACCGAAGCTCGAAGACTTTCGAATTCGCGAAAAACGATCAGAGGAGGCCTTGCGATGCCGCCATTTCGTACAGTCTGGTTCCCGTCGACGAGAAAAGGTACAGCTCTAACCGATCAACCGTTTTTTTGTACGTTAAATTTTGTTTGCAGAATCGAAGTGGCTGTGGACGGTAAAAGACAAGGCCTCACCAAAAAACAGTACGGGAATCCCGGAATCGGGCGATTGAAGATATGCAAGCGGGAGTTGTACGAGAAATTTTTGCACGTTTGCAGATTGAAGGGAATCCCGTTGAGGAAAAACGATGAATTTTTGCTGTATAAAGAAGCCAAAATGCTCGATGAAATATATGTGAAGGCCAAACGAGTAGTGAGAGGTAAATTCGATAGTTGGACGGTCAAAAATGAAGGTTTATTAGAGTTTTTTATCGATTAGATTGAGACAAATTGGCAAAAAATCCCTACACTTCCGAAATTCCACTAAACTCGGCTACACCGTATCTCCAAAATCCCTAAATCCACGAAAGTTCGACTAAATGTGGCAACGCCGCGTGTGCCAGAAATTGGCTATATAAATACTTAAAAATCGGGTAAAAAAACGCGATTTAATTCAAAAATAAACGTGTATAATGAATGGAATACAAAAATAACTATTACAATACTTAATACCGTAAAAAATCGTGTCGCTAACTAACAATAAAATCGTGTTCGTAAAAATAGAGAGGAAAACCGAAAGGAAAATTCGATTTGGGAAATCGGTAAAAGGAAAATCAGGCGATCGTGTCCGGATCCCAGGCGTACTTGACCTGCCTGAAGTTATCCAAAATTTTCATATCTTCGATCGGTATCTGGAAATCCAAATCGATGTTTTCGTCGACGTGCCTCTTCGATCTGGCTTTGGGAATCACCGCGACGTTTTGCTGGATGGCCCAGCGCAGGAGCACCTGAGAGACACAAATTACAATGTATAATTTCCATTTCTACTCTTCGATATAAGAGTTATACCTGAGCAGGACTCTTGCCCAGTTTCCCGGCTAGCCTCGTCACCTCCGGATTGTTAATCAAATCCGGATTATTCGAGCCCCCCAACGACGAGTAGGCCTGCAACAGTATCCCCTCTTTGCGCAACAATTCCAGGAGCTCCGGTTGATGGTAAGCCGGGTGCCATTCGACCTATCGAAATAATTTATTAACATCGGCAACGCCGCATCAGTCGCTCGAAAACTCACTTGATTAACGGCGGGTTTCACGCCGAAATCGTTCTCGAGCAGCTCCTTCATGTGTTTCACGTTGTAATTGGAGACTCCGATGTTTCGGGTGAGTCCCGTTCGAACGCCTCGAACGAGCTGCTTCCAGCTCTCCCGCCTCGACAGCGAGTTGTTCCTCTCCTGGCCTCTTACACCTTGCACGCCGGGCCAGTGTATCAGATACAAATCGATGTAATCGCAATCTAGATTCCTCAGGGATCGCTCGAGTGCCACGTAGGCTCGTTCGCCTTGATCGCTCGGAGCTGGAATTTCACGTTAATTATATCTTAATTGACTCGGCTGGATTAATTACCCAATTTGGAGGTTATGAAGATGTCTTTGCGCGTTAGATTGTACTTGGGTAGGAGCTCCTTTAGGGCCTTTCCGATCGATACTTCGTTCCCGTACACCGTTGCGCTATCTACACAAATTAATTAATTCTAATGATAAATTACAATCTGATAATATTACCGATGAGTCTGTAACCCGCCGATAGGGCCAAATCTAGGACTTCTTTGATCAATTCGTCGCCTTGTATTTGGTAAGTTCCGACTGTAATAAGAAGAAAGTGAGGTTATATGGGGTGTTTTTTTCGCTTTAAAATGTACTTACAGCCGATTAGAGGCATCAAATCGCCGTTTAGGAGTTTGTGATTCATGGTATTCGTTAGTATTTTGTTCTGGTCGAGTCCGGATTGCGGGGTGAAAAAAGTGAGGTTATGTTAGGAGACGTGGGAATTTCTGGCTCGGAAAACGATTTAAAATGTACTTACAGCCGATTAGAGGCATCAGATCGCCGTTGTGCAGTTTGAAATTCATGTTTTTGACGGTTTCCGATGCATTTAGATTGGAATTCTCTTCGCATCGGGCTTGACAGGTCAACGAACCGAGTAAAAGGCCGCTCAAAATGGCGAATTTGAAGCGCATTTTCCGGGCCGGATTTTCGTGGGTTTTCTCGAAAATTTATCGCTATTTGAGGTCGTAAAAGGATGTGAAACACATCGAGGCGTAGTCAAGGCTAACGAGTCGTTTGAAATTTGCATTCCTGCATTCGATTGGAAAATCGAATGAATAATGTATGATTTAATTGGTGAGAAAAAAAGTTGTAATAAAAACCGGTTGTTCATCGATTATTAAATTTTAAGTTGTTTTAAATTTTAGAGCGTAAATTACGCGAGATTTCGAAGATTCAAGATACCGATGTAATTTGTGTTGCATAACTTAAAACTTTCGGTAAAGTTCATTGACTTCTAACGTACAAGGCCACTGTGAGTTTTAATTTTGACAGGTGACGTACGCGAAACGTCAAAAGTTTTAAAATATTTAACAATTTTAGTGTCGTTTGTAAGTGATTTTATAAGATGTTTTTAGTGTTACAGTTTAACAATATAAATGTGATTTTAATACGGATGGAACTGTTGGACACGGAGCAATGAATCTTCTTTTTTTGTAAGTAATTAACGCCCCTTTCTGATAGTACGCTAGTCCAATAACCTCATACCAACCGAATAACCCTAGCGGTGTGAGACTAATTATTAAGAAAAGAAGAAGAATATTCAACAAAGTACAAAACGTATATTTAACAAGTAATCTAAAACGCATCATTTTTTAATCTTCCTCAACCTCCTCGGCGCCTTCTCCCGCTGATGTCCGGGCGCGTGTTTCTTCAGAATATTATGCTCGCCCCCGTCGTAGTGCTGGTGCAAATCCTGCGCCCCGTACCCCCCGAATTCGTCCTCCAGCGGCGGATAGTGGGGCTCCTCTTTGTGCACCGGCACATGCACCGGTATGTACTTTTCCTTTTCCACGTGGACCGGCACCGGCACGAATTTCTCCTTTTCCACGTGCACAGGCACCACCTTCTCCCTTTCGTGGTAGTGATGGTGGTGCTCGGGCACCTTGATCACCTTCGTGTGGTAGACGGTCTTGATCTTTTGGGGTACGTGGATCCTGTGGTGCACGCTGCGAATAAATTACACACAAATTTTTGTTAAAAAATATCATTTATTTGTTGCATTTTTGTTACTTACCGGTGATGAGTGTGTCCCGGTAGAGGATTCGCGTGTACAATCGTGAGTAGAATGGAGATGAGAAGCACCGTTAGCTGTATTAATGATATATAAATTGTTTAGTTGGAAAAATATTTGCATCGTTTGAAGAAAGCGAAATGCATGCAGGAAATCGATTTCTCCTTATCCGAGCAAAAGATCAATTGAATTAAAACGTTTCTCTTCGAAGAGGAAACGATAAATTATCTCTTCCTATAAAGAGAGTGAAATTTTATTATGTACTCACACCATATGGCTCCATTTTGTAATATAATTGCACCGGTTATTCACACGGCTGGTAAACAACGCGAAACTGACTTGTTTACGTTCGGGATCTTTGGATTTATAAACGAAATAAGTGGCGGTATAAGTAGGGGATATTTTTATGGTAGAAGAATATCGCTTCCTCGAAGGCGTAATGCGAAAAAAATCAATGGACAATGAAATAAATAATACAAAAAAAAACGGTATTTAATTTTGAATGGGACGTTTGAAAGTAAACGCATTTCGTGCTCTACTAATATGTAATGATAATGATAATATTTCCGCGTTTTGCGAATAAAGATGATTCGTTTTCTAATTTTCGCGTTTCTTTTTTTTTTCTCACTCGACACGCGCGCGTTTCGTTTGTTGAAATATTTACCGACGCAAAAGGTATGATTATAGTCTACGAGTTTTCCTGGTTTCTCGATTCCACTAAAACTTTCCCATATCTACAGAAATTCCTCAAAAAAAATCCCTCAAATTCCGAAATTTCGCTAAACTCGGCAACGCCGAACGGGCGAAAAATCTCCCCGTATCTACGGATATTTCGAGTAACTTTGACAACGTCGCATTTACGTAAAGTGTAGTGTAAAATTCGAATCGATAGCATTTTAACAAATCGTTTTTATTAAAAAAAAAAATAATGATATTAATTATCGGCCGGTTTAACGGAGTTAAGGGTGTCGACGATAATACTTATAGATTCCTGCAATTGTTCATCATCGATGATGAGAGGCGGCGAAAATCTGATGATATCTTCGTGCGTGGGTTTCGCCAGCAAACCGTTTTCCTTCAATTTCAAACAAACGTCCCAAGCATCGGCGAAATCTGCAACAACAAATCGATATATTGAATCGCCCTGTATATCGATTCTCTCGCTTACTCCTGTTAATCTCTACGGCGTTGAGCAGCCCTTTTCCTCTGATCTGATTCACCAGCTCGTTGTTCCCCAGTCGATCCTTCAATTCGCTCCTGAACTTCTCCCCCGATTCGAAGGCCCTTTCGCTCAGCCGTTCCTCTTCCAGGACCTCCAGAGCCTTGATCGCCACCCTGGAACCCAAGGGATTCCCTCCGAACGTCGAACCGTGACTACCTACACTCAAAACAACACATTTCAACCCTTAACTAACCCCTATTTCTGCACCAAGTACCTGGTTCAATCACCATCATAACATCATCGTCAGCCAGTGCAGCTGAGACGGGGTAAACGCCGCCTCCTAGCGCTTTCCCCAGCACCAGGATATCAGGTTTCACCTCCTCGTAATCTACTGCTAATCTCCTCCCAGTCCTGCCTAAACCGGTTTGAATCTCGTCAGCTATCCAGAGCACGTTGTATCTGGTGCAGAGTTTCCTCACGCCCCGTAAATAACCCTCATCGGGCACGATTATGCCCGCTTCTCCTTGGATGGGCTCCACCATGAAGGCGCACACCAGCGGGTCCTGCAGGATTTTCTATAAAACCATTAAACGGATCGTTTTTAAAGGGGATTAGATGGGGATTATAAGCTTACTTCGAGCGCAGTTAGATCGTTGTAGGGGATGCAAGTGAAGCCGGGCAGGAAGGGCCCGTAGCCTTCGAAGCAAACCGGATCCGTCGAGGCGGAAACGGCCGCCAGCGATCTGCCCCAGAAGTTGTTGGCGGCGAAGATGATTCTCGCTTCGTTCGATGGGATCTTCTTCTTCCTGTAGCCCCATTTCCTGGCCAGTTTGCAGGCCGTTTCGGCCGCCTCCACGCCTGCAAATACCGCACGAATCGACGCCTTTGTCATGATGGTATTACAGCGAGAGTTGGAAAGGAGCAGCTAGGAGAGGACTAGTTTTGAGAGGAACAGTTAGGAGACGAGTAGCTGCGAGATGAGTAGCTGGAAGAGAAGTAGCTAGAAGACCAGTAGTTAGGAGAGGACTAGCTATGAGAGGAGCAGCTAGGAGAGGACTAGTTTTGAGGGGAACAGCTAGGAGAGGAGTAGCTGGGAGATGAGTAGCTGGAAGATGAATATCTGGGAGAGAAGTAGCTGCGAGAGAAGTAGCTAGAAGAGGAGTAGTTAGGAGAGGACTAGCTATGAGAGGAGCAGCTAGGAGAGGACTAGTTTTGAGAGGAACAGCTAGGAGAGGAGTAGCTGGGAGATGAGTAGCTGGAAGGTGAATATCTGGGAGAGAAGTAGCTGGGAGAGGAGTAGCTAGAAGAGGAGTAGTTAGGAGAGGACTAGCTATGAGAGGAGTAGCTAGAAGATGAGTAGCTAGAAGATGAGTAGCTAGAAGAGGAGTAGCTAGAAGATGAGTAGCTAGAAGAGGAGTAGCTAGAAGAGGAGTAACTAAAAGAGGAGCAGCTAGAAGATGAGTAGCTAGAAGAGGACTACCTATGAGAGGAGCAGCTAAGAGAAAAGTAGCTAGAAGAGGCCTAGCTATGAGAGGAGTAGCTAGAAGAGGAGTAGCTAAAAGAGGAGTAGTTAGGAGAGGAACAGCTAGGAGAGGAGTCTCGGGTAGATTTCGAGTGGATTCGGAGCAGATTCGGAGTAGGTTCGGGGCAGATTTAGAGTAGGTTCTGTACCTGTGTTCATCGGCAGGACCTTATCGTAGCCGAATAATTTGGTGATGATTTGAGCGTATTCTCCGAGCGCGTCGCAGAAAAAGGCCCTGGAGGTGTGATGCAAGATGGCGCTTTGCCGTTGAATGGCCTTTACTATTTCGGGATGGCAGTGACCGAAATTGTTGGCCGAATAACCGCTGAGGAAGTCGATGTATCTCTTGCCTTCCACGTCCCAAACGTGAACGCCTGCGTATAATGTTATTTTGAGACATTCTGTATATGTTTGTGTGTGTAAAATTAATGTATATACCTTCTCCTTTGGTCAGTGCTACAGGTAAGGGGTGGTAATTGTGGGCTGCGTGTTTATTTTCTCGTTTTATAACGTCTTGAGTGCTTATTGAGCGATTTTCCGATTGCAATGGAAATTGTAATTTTCTCAAAAGCTTCGATAATTTTCTACTTGACGACAACATTATACCTAAACAATACAAAAATATAAGGTGTAAACAATGAATAATTTCATAAAGCCTATTGAATATGGAGATAAAAGATCCATAACGAATTTTTATAATAAATTTTGACTCAATTATGTACACCAAATTTAATTGACTGTTGAAAAAACTATATACCTCATCTAACAAAAATCCTGATGTGCACACTAAAAAATTTATTATGATTATACGTTCTTTAAAAACAATTATATTAATTATTGTATTTTCAAGATAACTTGTAATCTACGCACGAAAATAAATCCACATATACTTACGAAATGTAGGTAAAGTTGAATGAACAGAGTGCGTATATAAACAAAACAAACTTTCACTTTGCTCGTGAGTTTTAAACGGGAATGTTTTGAAGGCAAATATCTATAAATTTATTTCGGGTATTAATCCGAATTTCAGGTGCCTTTTCCTGTACTTATTTTCGCTTTTTAATAGGTACTTCGTATTTTATTGTATACTTAAAAAACATGTTCTGAAATACCGACTTAATAATAGAATTTATAATTTGTTTATATGAGGATATGATGATGTGTGTTTGCGACCGTGTAACTCGCGCATTAATTAACCTTTGTTTGATTTCGTAATTAGTAATTTATCAGGTCCGTATTGTAGTAATAAAAATTCCCCAAAAATACTATTTACCTTTTTTTTTGACGAAGAGAAAAAAATAACTGTATGCTAGTAACAAAACACTTTCTTTAACACAAATTTTATTGCTGTTACTGTGTTGCAGGTACTTGAAGATAAATATTTAAATAATACAATCATTTTTATATTCGATAAGATTGCAAAGAACAAAGAAATTAATAAAAATGTACTATACTTACGTTAATAATATTTTATTTATAATTCCGATAATGCGTTTACCTATTAACAATCAATAATTAATAATTAATTTAAATATAAAAATTACGCATTTGCACAGCCGACTCTTACAAGTTTCTTCTATTTATCAACAATAAAAAGCGTCCTCTAACATTTCGCGTATACAGTTACTCCGTGTAAGCCGCGCTTAACGACTCATTTAAATTTCTTCTATTTATCTACATTAAAAAGCGTCCTTTAACGTAGCGAGTATACAGCCACTTCGTGTAAACCGCGCTTAACTAATCTTAAGTTTCTTCTTTTTATTAAGCGTCTTCTAACGTATCGAGTATACAGCCACATCGTGTAAACCGCGCTTAACGTCCGATTTGACGTTTGTGACATTAACCTCCATTTCCAATTGTCATGTTCATATACACACAATTTTTCGTATTATTTCAACCGTTTTGATTTTTCCCAACCAAATCGCCAGTGTCATCACATGAATTAAACCTACGATAAGGTAACGGAATTCCCATCGCATCTAATTCACGCGTTATCTCTCGATTATCAACAAAAAATCTCGAATACATAATAATTTTTCGATTGCAGTTTATTCCGAAACACTATGAAATATATCAGTTGATCGACGATGTACGGGTGGGGAAGCACCATACACGGCGAATTGGGCCTGGGTGGCGTCGAAGAGGAGCACGTCCTGGCCCCCACGAACCTCGACTGGTATCTGGCCAACAAAGTGATCGAGGCCGCCTTGGGCGACAACCACACTCTACTGCTCACCAGCGACGGCAAAGTCTTCTCCTGCGGCAACAATGACTACGGGCAATTGGGCCACGACCAACCGAGGAAGAGGCCACGTATGTCTTTGTTTAGTATGTGCTCATTTTGCTTTTCGTGCTCTCGCCCGTCGCGCCGAACTAACGCCCATTTCGTACATCGCTTTCGAATCGAACGCTGTGTTCACCAACGATTCCTCGTGATTTTGCAGAGGCCGTAACGGGCTTGGAGGCCCACCAGATCATCCGGGTGGCGTGCGGCTCGATGCACTCGATGGCCTTGAACCAATGGGGTCAGGTGTTCTCGTGGGGCTCCGATTACCACGGGCAACTCGGCCAGAGCATCGGCGAAGACATCTCCAACGCCCCGAAGATAATCAAAGCACTGGCTGCCTATCACGTGGTGCAAATCTGCTGCGGACAGAGGCATTCCGTTGCTCTGGCTAACAGTGAGTTTATCGATTACTTTTAATCGATTGATTATTATCGATTATTGATTGAATGATTGTTTTGTAGATGGTGATATCTTGGCTTGGGGAGCGAACAATTTCGGACAGCTCGGTTTAGGCGTCAGTTCGCAAACGGAACCCGTCCCGAAGGTCCTAACCTCATTAAAAGGCATTCCGTTCTCTTTTATCGCCTGCGGGGCCAATCACACGTTCGCCATATCGAAATCCGGAGCCGTTTACGGATGGGGTAAAACCTCCCGTTACTTACCTACTAACCTCCGTTACTTTCCCGGAGCATCGAATTTAATGTCGGTAATGTTCCAGGTAAGAATACGAGAGGCCAATTGGGCCTGAACGACAACGAGAACAAGATATTCCCGACGCAATTGAGGACGTTGCGCAACATCAAAGTGAGGTACATCGCTTGCGGCGAGGAATTTTCGATGTTTTTGACATTGGACGGGGGCGTTTTGACTTGCGGCGCCGGAATGTACGGCCAATTGGGGCACGGTACAACCAGCAATGAGATTTTACCTAGACAAGTAATACTCTTTTTTTGTTTTTTTTTCTGTATCAAAAGTTACGAACAAGTCGATCGAGTGATTCGAGTGATTTGAGTGCGAGAAAGATAGTGGTATTACTAGAAAGGAACAGTGAGAGAGATGGGGTTATGAGTTAACAGTACAGAGTGATTTGAGTGCGAGAAAGATAGCGGTATTACAAGAAAGGAAGAGCGAGAGAGATGGAGTTATGAGGTAACAGTACAGAGATTCGAGTGAATTGAGTGCGAGAAAGATAGCGGTAAATGAACTAGAAACGTTTAGAACTGTCTAAAATCGTTTTGAATTGATTCAGGACTGAATTGAAACGGTTCGGGATAAACTAGGAAAGTTAAGAACTATTTAGAACGGTTTGAGTACTGTTTCAAACAGTTCGAGAGTGTTTTAGAATTATTTAGAACTGTATGAAATCTTTTAGAACATATTAAGGACTGTTTGGAACGGTCTAGGAACGTTTTGAACTATTTAGGAGGCTTTGAGGAACGTTTCGAACAGTTCAGGATGATCCTAGAACGTGGAATTATTGTCAAAAATTAGTTTTGAATCGAGTCGGAACTGTTTGAAGGGTTTCAGGATGAACTAGAGACGATTTGGAACTATTTAGAACGCTTTAAGGATCTTAAAATACTTCTAAGAACGTTTAAAACTGTCTAAAATGATTTTGAATTGATTCAGGACTGAATTGAAACGGTTCGGGATAAACTAGGAAAGTTAAGAACTATTTAGAACGGTTTGAGGACCATTTCAAAGAGTTCAAGAGAGTTTTAGAATTATTTATAACTGTATGAAATCTTTTAGAACATATTCAGGACTATTTGTTGGAATGGTCTAGGATAAACTAGGAAAGATTTGAAGTGTTTAGGATGGTTTTGGAGACATTTCAAACAGGTCAGGATGATCCTAGAACGTAGAACTGTCCGAAATTAGTTTTGAATCCAGTCGGGGAAACTTCTTCAAACTTCCTCGAATCTCTACGAATCTCTACGAACCTCTTTAAACTTTCTCAAACCTCTTCGAACTTCCTCGAACCTCTACAGACCTCTTTGAACTTCCTCGAACTTTCTCGAACCTCTACGAGCCTCTAAGAACTTTCTCGAACCTCTACGAACCTCTTCGAACTTCCTCCAACTTTCTCGAACCTATTCGAACTTTCTCGAACCTCTTTGACCTTTCTCGAACTTTCTCGAACCTCTTTGAACTTCCTCGAACCTCTACGAGCCTCTAAGAACTTTCTCGAACCTCTACGAACCTCTTCGAACTTCCTCCAACTTTCTCGAACCTATTCGAACTTTCTCGAACCTCTTTGACCTTTCTCGAACTTTCTCGAACCTCTACGAACCTCTTCGAACTTCCTCCAACTTTCTCGAACCTATTCGAACTTTCTCGAACCTCTTTGACCTTTCTCGAACTTTCTCGAACCTCTTTGAACTTCCTCGAACCTCTACAAACCTCTTTGAACTTCCTCGAACTTTCTCGAACCTCTTTGAACTTCCTCGAACCTCTACGAGCCTCTAAGAACTTTCTCGAACCTCTTCGAACTTCCTCCAACTTTCTCGAACCTATTCGAACTTTCTCGAACCTCTTTGACCTTTCTCGAACTTTCTCGAACCTCTTTGAACTTCCTCGAACCTCTACAAACCTCTTTGAACTTCCTCGAACTTTCTCGAACCTCTTTGAACTTCCTCGAACCTCTACGAGCCTCTAAGAACTTTCTCGAACCTCTACGAACCTCTTCGAACTTCCTCCAACTTTCTCGAACCTATTCGAACTTTCTCGAACCTCTTTGACCTTTCTCGAACCTCTACGAACCTCTTCGAACTTCCTCCAACTTTCTCGAACCTCTTTGACCTTTCTCGAACTTTCTCGAACCTCTTTGAACTTCCTCGAACCTCTACGAACCTCTTCGAACTTTCTCGAACCTCTTCGAACCTCTACGAACTCCCTCGAACATATAAATCCCATATATTTATTTATTTGTTTGTTTTCTTGTAGATAATCGAACTGATGGGCTCGACCATCACCCAAATAGCCTGCGGCAGACAGCACTCGTTGGCTTTGGTGCCTTCGCGCGGCCGCGTCTACAGCTTCGGCATCGGCGGCGCCGGCCAATTGGGCCTGCGCAAACCGGCGAGCGCCGCGACGCCCCAGGTCGTGCTCGGTCCGTGGGTGTCGCCCAGCGGCATATCGCTCATACCGACCGCCAGCGACGTCAAGAACTTGATCATTCAAAGGGTGTTCGCCGGTAGGTGGCCTTTTACTTTGACGCGCTTTCGACCGGGTCGTATACGAGCTAGGTGGTGGCCTTTTACGGCGCGTTAAATCGGAAGTAGATTGCAGTAGAGATTGAAAGTAGATTGAAGTAGAGATGCAGAATTGATTCGGAGTAGGTTCAGAGGAGAGTAGGTTCGGGGTTGAGTAGATTTGGAGTAGATTCAGAATAGATTCAGTGTTTGTTCAGAGTAGATTCAGAATTGATTCAGAGTAGGTTCAGAGGAGAGTAGATTCGGAGTAGAGTAGATTTGGAGTAGATTCAGAATTGAGGTAGAGTAGGTTCAGAGGAGAGTAGAATCAGAGTAGAGTAGATTTGGAGTAGATTCAGAATAGATTCAGAATTGAGGTAGAGTAGGTTCAGAGGAGAGTAGAATCAGAGTAGAGTAGATTTGGAGTAGATTCAGAATAGATTCAGAATTGATGCAGAGTAGGTTCAGAGGAGAGTAGATTTGGAGTAGATTCAGAATAGATTCAGTGTTGGTTTAGAGTAGATTCAGAATTGATTCAGAGTAGGTTCAGAGGAGAGTAGTTTCGGAGTAGAGTCGATTTGGAGTAGATTCAGAATAGATTCAGAATTGATGCAGAGTAGGTTCAGAGGAGAGTAGATTTGGAGTAGATACAGAATTGATTAAGAGTAGATTTAGAAGAGATTCAGAATTGATTCAGAATAGATTCAGTGTTGGTTCAGAGTAGATTCAGAATTGATTCAGAGTAGGTTCAGAGGAGAGTAAATTCGGAATTGAGTAGATTTGGAGTATATTCAGAATTGATTCACGAGTAGGTTCGGAGGAGAAGAGAGTAGGAGAGTAGAGTAATTGTTTATTATTATTTATTTATTAGTAAATTCTTATTTAAAATATATTTGCCTACGCTCAAAGGCTCCCGATTGAATCCCCCATGTTACCTCTATTTTTCTATCTTACTTTTTCCGCCTCGCTTACACAATAGGTGACAAATATTTTTCAACGTTTGCGTCAAAAATGTTTGAATTTACGAATGACTGGTCCAGATGGCCTTTTATAGTGCTTTCAAACAGTTCTATAATCGATTCCGTTGTTCGATAGGCGGCGACCATTGCTTCGTGACTGTGATAAAAAAGGACCTCAACGTGCCTCTGTTCGATTGTCGAGAGATCGATACCAGAACGCAAATACTGACGATGAGCAAGGACTACGCCAAAACGTTGTTGCGCATCTCGCCGAAATCGAAAGTCGACCAGGACGTGTGGAACTTCTTGGAGACGGTGTTCAAGAGCCTGGCCTGTTTGAACGGTTCGTTTCTCTTACCCGACGACGAGCACTACTATTGCACCAGCAAACATCACGGCGTCGACGTCGCGACGACCGACGCCGCCTTTTCGTCGATCGGCAAAATCGAGAACAAGAGCATCAAGGAGTTGGTGAGCGCGGCGCCCCGCTTGGATTACCTTCGACTATATTTTATTATCGTCTTCTCGTATTTATCGTTAGATATGGAATTGCGTGGTGGACGATCTGTTGCCACATTTGTCCAGATCGCCTCCGGACGTCGAGGCGCTGAGGATCTATCTCACGTTGCCCCTTTACCATGAATTTAACAATCCCAAGCAGTACGCCAGGTTGCAGAAACCTTTCGCCAGCGCTGTACTGAACCTGAAGAAACCCGCCAGTAAGGTAACGCCCTAGTAACCTCTAATAGCCCCCACACAGTATCACGAGCAGAATTAAACCAAAAAAAGCTCCGGGGCCCGATGGCATTCCCCCCTATATAGTAAAAAAAACAATAGAAACCAACCCTGAAATCGTATTAAATCTAATGAATAAATTAATTAAAAATCAAGAATTTCCCGACCAATGGAAAACAGTCCCCACACAGTAGCCACATAGTAGCCTATAATAAACCTACATAGTAGCCTACAATAGACCCACATAGTAGCCTAAAATAGCTTCATATAGTAGCTAAGAATAGCTCCACATAGTAGCTAAGAATAGTACTATACAGGGCTTTTCACGGTAACCGTCCATTAGAAGTATCTCAATAATGAAAAGACTTAAAAATCTGAAATTTTGGTTATAGTATTTTTTGGATAATATGAATTGATCTAAAATATTTTCATTTTGATTACACTTTCGGTTATACCATTTTTATGATATTACAATTTTTTCGATATTTTTTGGAAAAACAGTCGAATGTATTTTCTGTGATATCTCTGTTAATAATGCAGCTAGAAGCTTGAAATTGAGTATCGATGATGTCCAGACATACTACTAAATGAAACTAAACTGTATTTTCAGAATCCATGTACAGGGCGTTTAAAATTGTCTGACAAACTTGGCCAAATTAAAGTGGTCATAACTTTGTTATTTCAAATGGATCACCTTATATTTTTTAACAGTAACCAATGCAGTTTTTTAAGCCCTTTCGATCCATATGGGTATTCCCTATACCCAAATCCAGTAGTTTTTGAAATAATCGAAGTTTTATTAAATAAGGTATGAATTTTCTTTTTTTTTTGAGTTATCTAGTTGGGCATATGGTGTTATTATCAAAGTCTAGTTAAAAAAGGCCATAAAATTCAAAAAAGAAGTTTAAAATGGCACTTTCCATATAAAATAACGAAGTTGGTATCAACTTCCGGTATAACCGGAAGTGTAATCAAAATGAAAATATTTTAGATAAATTCATATTATCCAAAAAATACTACTACCAAAATTTCAGCTTTTTAAGTCTTTTCATTATTGAGATACTTCTAATGGACGGTTACCGTGAAAAGCCCTGTATAGTAGCTTATAATAGATCTACATAGTAGCATAAAATAGACCCAAATAGTAGCCCAAAATAGCCTCATATAGTAGATAAAAATAGCTCTACATAGTAGCTAAGAATAGCTCTGCATAGTAGCCTATAATACCCCACATAGTAGCTAAGAATAGCTCTGCATAGTAGCCTATAATACCCCACATAGTAGCTAAAAATAGCTCTACATAGTAGCCTATAATACCCCCACATAGTAGCCTATAATACCCCACATAGTAGCTAAAAATAGCTCTACATAGAAGCCTATAATAGCCCCACATAGTAGCCTATTATAGCCCTTAGTAGCCAAATTTTGTAGCGATTAAACGGCTATCTGTGCAGGTAGTCTCCGGCTGGTGGAGCTCGACGAGTTGCGATTACTTCGAGAGGCTCGTCAACGTGTTCAAATCGGTGGCCAGTTACATATTAAGGAATCAGAACATACCCCAAGGAAGGGTAAGTACTCGACTCTGAGTGTCTCGTAAGATATCCAAAAAACAGAACCCGATTGTATCCGATTGTACTTCGTTTTTATTTTTTCTAGATAGCCTTTTACGATGCTAGTCTAGTGGCCATGTTGGATTTGCTGGCGTTTTTGAACAAGATCAATCACAGCGTTGAAGGGTTGAAAGTGCCTTACGATACCTTCCACATGAACGATCTATCGGACTATTTGGACGTTCGCTTGGACTACGTCTATTGGTTGTCTGATCACGGGGTGAGTTTCGATTTGATCTTATCGAAAACGATATCGAAACTGTGCTTTTGGAATTTTTCTAATTTTCCAGACGGGCAGGTTGTTCCTGTGCAACTATCCCTTCGTATTCGACGCCAATGCCAAGGTTCAATTGCTGGAAACCGATCAAGCTTTACAGGTACGATTCCTTAATTTTATACTAACGTATCTGTTCGTACGAGGATATAGGTTTGTGAGTTATGTGTCATTTAGAACTATCTAGAAACATTTAGAAAGCTCCAAAATAAATTTGGAACTGTCTAGAACCATTTAGAACACTCCAGATTCATTTAGAACTATCTTAGACCATTTAGAACGCTCCAGAATATATTTGGACCTGTCTAGAACCATTTAGAACACTCGAGATTCATTTAGAACTATCTTAGACCATTTAGAACACTCCAGATTCATTTAGAACTATCTAAGACCAATTAGAACGCTCCAGAATAAATTTGGAACTGTATAGAACCATTTAGAACACTCCAGATTCATTTAGAACTATCTTAGACCATTTAGAACGCTCCAGAATATATTTGAAACTGTCTAGAACCATTTAGAACGCTCCAGAATCATTTAGAATCAACAATCATTTAGAACTATCTAACAATCGTTTAGAACTGTAACAATCATTTAGAATGTCCCAGGATAAATTAGAACGCTCCATAATCATTTGGAACTGTCTAGAACCATTTAGAACACTCCAGATTCATTTAGAACTATCTTAGACCATTTAGAACGCTCCAGAATATATTTGGAACTGTCTAGAACCATTTAGAACACTCCAGATTCATTTAGAACTATTTTAGACCATTTAGAACGCTCCAGAATATATTTGAAACTGTCTAGAACCATTTAGAACGCTCCAGAATCATTTAGAACTGTCTAACAATCATTTAGAACTATCTAACAATCGTTTAGAACTGTCTAACAATCATTTAGAATGTCCCAGGATAAATTAGAACGCTCCATAATCATTTGGAACTGTTTAGAACCATTTAGAATAGTCTAGTATATTCTAAAATGCTCCAGGATCATTTAGAATGCTCCAGAATCATTAAAAACTGTTTAGATCCATTTAGAACAGTCTAGCACAATATAAAACGCTCCAGAATCATTTAAAACATTCCAAAACCATTTAGAACGCTCCAGAATCATTTAGAACTGTTTAACAATCATTTAGAATGTCACAGGATAATTTAGAACGCTCCATAATCATTTAGAACTGTTTAGAACCATTTAGAATAGTCTAGCATATTCTAAAATGCTCCAGGATCATTAAGAACTGTTTAGATCCATTTAGAACAGTCTAGCACAGTCTAAAACGCTCCAGAATCATTTAAAACATTCCACAACCATTTAGAACACTCCAGATTCATTTAGAACTATCTTAGACCATTTAGAACGCTCCAGAATCATTTAGAACTCTCTTAGACCATTTAAAACAATCCAGATTCATTTAGAAATGTCTAGAACCATTTAGAACCAACTTCATTTAGAACCGTCTAACAATCATTTAGAATGTCCCCCAATCATTTGGAACTGTTTAGAACCATTTAGAATAGTCTAGCATAATATAAAATGCTCCAGGATCATTTAGAACGCTCCAGAATCATTTAGAACGCTCCAGAATCATTTAGAACGCTCCAGAATCATTTAGAACTGTCTAACAATCATTTAGAATGCCCCAGGATTATTTAGAACGCTCCATAATCATTTAGAACTGTTTAGAACCATTTAGAATAGTCTAGCATAATATAAAATGCTCCAGGATCATTTAGAACGCTCCAGAATCATTTAGAACTGTCTAACAATCATTTAGAATGCCCCAGGATTATTTAGAACGCTCCATAATCATTTAGAACTGTTTAGAACCATTTAGAATAGTCTAGCATAATATAAAATGCTCCAGGATCATTCAGAATGCTCCAGGATCATTCAGAATGCTCCAGAATCATTAAGAACTGTTTAGATCCATTTAGAACAGTCTAGCACAATCTAAAACGGTCCAGAACATCATTTAAAACATCCGATATTGTACCCCGTATATTCCAGATGCAAAAAGCCATGAACGACGCCGCCCAACGGGCCATGGTGGCCATGCTATTTTCGCCGCAGGACTACCATTCGATCAACAGCTTCCTCATGTTGAACATCACCCGAGAACGCATCGTCGACGACGCCCTCAGAGAACTGAGCCACGTCGATCCGGCCGATCTGAAGAAACCGCTCCGCGTGAAATTCGCCGGCGAAGAGGCCGAAGACGCCGGCGGCGTCACCAAAGAATTCTTCTTGCTGTTGCTGCGCGAGATTTTGGATCCGAAGTACGGCATGTTCCAGGAGTACGAGGAGACGCGCGCCATTTGGTTCTCGGAGACGTGCTTCGAGGATAATTCCGTGTATTTTCTCATCGGTGAGCCGCGTTCGCTTGTGTATTCTGGATTTTAAAAGTGTTCGGAACGGTTTGGGACCGTTCTGAATGGTTTTGGACCGTCCTGAACGGTTTAGGACTATCCTGAATGGTTTAGGATCGTTCTGAACAGTTTAGGACTATCCTGAATGGTTTAGAATCGTCCTGAACAGTTTAGGATTATCCTGAATGGTTTAGAATCGTCCTGAACAGTTCAGGACTATCCTGAATGGTTTTGGACCGTCCTGAACAGTTTAGGACTATCCTGAATGGTTTAGGATCGTCCTGAACAGTTTAGGACTATCCTGAATGGTTTAGGATCGTCCTGAACGGTTTAGGACTATCCTGAATGGTTTAGGATCGGTCTGAACAGTTTAGGGCTATCCTGAATGGTTTAGGACTGTTCTGAATGGTTTAGAAGGCATCTGAACGAATTAGAACTGTCTAGAATGTGTTAGAACCCATCTGGATGATTTAGAACTACTTAGAAAAAAATCACAAGTGTATGGAACAATTCAAATTGTCCAGAATCGTTTAGTTTGCTTCAGGACGATTTGGAATTGTCGAGAACCATTTAGAATGATGGTCCAGAATGATTTAAAACTCTTCTAAAAGAATTAATACTGCCTGGAACAGTTCAGAACATCCCAGAATCATTTAGATTGCTTCAGGACGAATAAGAATTTGTGGCATCTTAATTTAGACGATTTTAGAACTGTTCAAAACCATTTAGAACAATCCAGAATGATTTAGAATCTTTTTGAAGGAATTAGAACTCCCTGTTAAAGTGGTTTAGAACTGCCCAGAATAATTTAGAATCTTTCTCAACGAATTGGAATCGTCTAGAATGATTTAGAATTGTCTACAATGATTCAGAACTCTTCTGAACGAATTAGAACTATCTAGAATAAGTTAGAAATGTTCTAGATTTATTTAGAACCGTTTTATAATTGACTAGGACCATTTGAAACAGTTCAGGACGATTTTAGAACTGCTAAAAACCATTTAAAACAGACTAGAATGATTTTAAAACCATTCTGAATGATGTAGAACTATCTAGAACCATTTAGAACTGTTTAAAACAATCCAGAACTGCCCAGAGTGATTTACAACCATTCTGAACGAAGTAAGACGGTCTAGAACAATTCAGAACTCTCCAGAATGATTTAGAATCCTTCTAAAACTAATTAGAACTGTCTATGGAACAATTCACAGCTGTGTAGATCAATTCTAAACTGCCTACAACAATTTAGAACAACCCAGAACTGTCTAGAACAATTCAAAACAGTCCAGAATCATTTAGATCGCTTTAGGACGAATCAGAATGGTCGATAACCATTGCAGAATGATTTAGAACCATTCCGAACCATTCAGAAGTGTCTAAAACAATCCAGAAGTGCCCAGAATAATTTAGAACTCTTCTGAACTAATTAGAACTGTCTAGAACTACCCACAACTGACTAGAACAATTTAGAACCTCTCAGAATTGTCCAGAATAATTCAGAACAGTTTAGATCGATTCAGCATTGTCTAGAACAACCCAAAACTGCCCAGAACAATTCAGAGCTGTCTAGAACAATTCAGAACGGTCCAGGATCATTCAGATCGCTTCAAAACGAATCAAATCCACCGAGAATGATCGAGAAACAACGAATTAATCGGTTTTTTTTTTTAATTCAATTACCGCAGGAATGATCCTCGGCCTGGCCATCTACAATTTCACCATCATCGACATACCGTTCCCGTTGGCCCTCTACAAAAAGCTGCTGGGCGAGCCGGTGTCGTTGGGCGATCTGAAGGGCCTCTCGCCGGCCGTCGCGAATTCCCTGCAGAGCCTGCTCGACTACGAAGCGGCCGACATGCAGGAGGTGTTCTCGCTGTGCTTCGATCTCACGCGCAGCTCCTTCGGCGAAACCACCACCGTACCGTTGAAACCGAACGGTTCCGACGTGCCCGTCACGCAGGAGAACAAGTAAGTGTTGTTGTCGTTGTTGTCGTTGTTGTCGTTGTTGTCGTTGTTGTCGTTGTTGTCGTTTGGCGTCCGCCATTTTTGCGTTTTCGGTTGGGTTTTTTTTTGGCGTGAAGTTAGCCGTTTGCAGCAAAATCAAGTAAGTGTAGTGGTGTGTAGTATACACTGTTGGAAAATTATTCGCGCATAATAGGGAAATCAATGTTAAATTCTTAGCCGGCTGAAATACAGTCTACCAGTGTACATTTAAATAGAACGTCGCGATAAATTCTAATAAATTTAATTGTTCTACTGGACTTCACACCGCGCTTTGGCTTGGTTAAATTAAAAAATCAAATAATTTCGACGGTTTCGACACTTCGACAGTATCAAAACGGGTTCGGATGGGTGAACGTCGAGTCGATTAAAAAGAAATGAGAATTTTTAAACGATAATTTATTGAAAAAATATCACTAATAATAAAATAGAATTATGTAGATATGTCTTTTTGCCACAATGGCTTGAAAAAGAAAGTAAATTCTAAGAAAATAATAAAAAGGAAACTTCAAAAATAAACTTAAAGATTATTTAAAACAGAAAATAAAAGAACTCTAAAAAATAGTCCATCGCCTTCTGCTAAACAATAGCCAAACCTGTCATACAGATGTCATCTCATATTACTGAGCTGAGGTGTAATTTTAGCAGAAAATTGAATTATTTTTTCCTTATTTTAACAAGATTTGTTGCTCTTTCAAAACTGTACCTACCGATACACACATTTTTTTGAAATATCCCCAAAAAACCTATTAAATGTAGTTTCTAAATAATTTTGTACCTCATACCTAACACAAATAACTTTGTACCTCTACAAATCGCGGCGTGCGGTCCAGTAGAACAATTAAATTTATTAGAATTCATCGCGACGTTCTATTGAAATGTATACTGGTAGACTGGATTTCAGCCGGCTAAGAATTTAACATTGATTTCCCTATTATGCGAAATTTAATTTCCAACAGTGTATTCGCAGATCGACAGGAAAAATGTTCGAGTACTTAGAGATTATTTAATAGATTCCAATACTTGGGTAGTGTCATATTTTACAACAGTTTAGTTAATCCTATTTGAATTTTTTCCTGTCGATCTACGAATATACTGTACATCCGCCATTTTGTGTATCGTTTCGTTGTTTTTGGCGTGAAGTTAGCGACGAGGTTTTTTTTTCTTTCGGTTTTGTTTTCGATTGATTGTAAAATGGGGAAAATGCGAAAATTTTGCATCTAAAAAGTGTTTAATAAAATCTAAAAAAATCGTCTAAAAAAACTTAATTTCGTAATTTATCGAAGGGAGAAGAATAGCAGATTCAGAGTTGATTCAGAGGAGAGTAGGTTCGGAGGAGAGTGGATTCAGAGTAGATTTGGAGTATATTAAGAATTGATTTAGAGTAGGTTCAGAGGAGAGTAGATTCAGAGTAGAATTAGAAGAGATTCATAATTGATTCGGAGTAGATTCAGAGTTGGATCAGAGTAGATTCAGAGTAGGTACAGAGGAGAGTAGATTCGGAGTATATCCAGAGCAGATTCGGAATTGATTCAGAGTAGGTTCAGAGGAGCGTGGATTCAGAGTAGATTTGGAGTAGATTAATAATTGATTTAGAGTAGGTTCAGAGGAGAGTAGATTCAGAGTAGAATTAGAAGAGATTCATAATTGATTCGGAGTAGATTCAGAGTTTGATCAGAGTAGATTTAGAGTAGGTACAGAGGAGAGTAGATTCGGAGTATATCCAGAGCAGATTCGGAATTGATTCAGAGTAGGTTCAGAGGAGCGTGGATTCAGAGTAGATTTGGAGTAGATTAAGAATTGATTTAGAGTAGGTTCAGAGGAGAGTAGATTCAGAGTAGAATTAGAAGAGATTCATAATTGATTCGGAGTAGATTCAGAGTTGGATCAGAGTAGATTCAGAGTAGGTACAGAGGAGAGTAGATTCGGAGTATATCCAGAGCAGATTCAGAATTGATTCAGAGTAGGTTCAGAGGAGAGTAGATTCAGAGTAGATTTGGAGTAGATACAGAATTGATTTAGAGTAGGTTCAGAGGAGAGTAGATTCAGAGTAGAATTAGAAGAGATTCATAATTGGTTCGGAGTAGATTCAGAGTTGGATCAGAGTAGATTCAGAGTAGGTACAGAGGAGAGTAGATTCGGAGTATATCCAGAGCAGATTCGGAATTGATTCAGAGTAGGTTCAGAGGAGAGTGGATTCAGAGTAGATTTGGAGTAGATACAGAGTCGATTTAGGAGTAGATTTAGAGTTAATTCAGAGTAGATTCAGAAATGATTCAGGGTAGGTTCAGAGGAGATTCAGAGGAGATCCTTTTCTTGCCATAGGCACATGTTTCACATGACAGTTCTTACGGACGTTCGTTCATTTGACAGTTTTGCATTGGTTGCTATGGAGTAACCAAGGACGTTACGTCACTACGACAATCGTCGCTAACTTCGCATCAATCTTTGTTGAACGTGATTTTTTTTATCTTTTATTTTCTTTGCAATTAGACAGGAGTACGTGGATTTGTACGTGAATTACATATTTAACGAGAGCGTAGCGCTTCAATATCAGGCCTTCCACGCCGGTTTTATGAAAGTGTGCGGGGGCAGGGTGTTGCAATTGTTCCATTCGCACGAATTGATGGCCGTCGTCATTGGTAACGAGAATTACGATTGGCACGCGCTAGAAGAAGTGGCCGAATACAAGAACGGGTAAGGGCCAATTTTTTTTTCTAATTTTAATTAGTAGTTTAATGTGTTAAAAAGCGTTAATAAGTATTGTAGGGCTTTATTAAGTATTTCTACGCATTCTCATCTACGGTTCTTATGCGGGACACCCTCGAATGTACACTTTTTAAACTAATAAAAACAAAAACATAACCTCCAACCAAATCAACTTCTACAATTTTATAATGTCTCATCCGAAGGTAGTTAAAACATGTTTCATGTCGTTTTGTGAAAATTCTTCCTTGTATTCTAAAAAAGTGTTTATTTTTGACCCAAAAAAACTTAAAACAATGAAACTACAATAATATTACCCTAGATATGTCATCTGTCATTTGATCTTCCGAACATTCCGTTCGAATTCTTACACCACTAATGATACAATGTAACTCGTTCGTTTTTGTGATTGGTACAGACTTTGGTAGAGACTTTACACGTCACTTGTCAAAGTGTTTAAATTTAAAATGGCTACATTTCCTAAAATATCGAATATTTTCATCAACTGAAAACCGCTTCGAGTTCTAATGACTTATTTCTATTCATATTACCGGTTAAAAACAGTATATCTTACATCGTACTCATCTCCATTAACATGTAATTTTCCCGTTGTAGGTACACGTCTTCTGATCAAACGATCAGGTACTTCTGGGAGGTGATTCACGAGATGCCTTTGGCCGATAAGAAGAAGTTTTTGTTGTTCCTGACGGGTAGTTACCGGATTCCTATACAGGGTATGAAGGGTATTAAGGTGGGTATCGGGGTGAATTCGATGGGGTACATTTGAACGATACAAATATACAGTATGTCTGAAAAAGTTGGCAACATATGGGAATAGTTATTCTTTATAAAAAGTTCTGCATGGCCGATAAAGTAAAACGCAAATGTCAGATGTCAATTTTTTTAAATCGTATACGAGGTTTGTCAAATATGAATTTGATACAAGAGTATTTTTTTACAATATCGAAAATTTTGATTATGAAAAGTTGTTCGAAATAGAAACATATGTTTTAATAAGCATTTTTGCTATTTCTTGAAGTACTATTACTGACGTTTTCAATTTTGGTTACATTAGTTACAATTACATTTCAATTTCAATTCACACTAACTAAATGGAATGTATTATTTAATTCTCAAAAGATTTTACTAGACTGACTTTCGGTAAGAGAAATGTCATTGTCAGAGCCACCTAGATTTTAAATTATTTTGTTTATTTTTGTGTATTACAATAGAAAATACATTATTCTGTTGGGTATTATTTATTTATTACTGGTTTAAAATCATTGCTAAAATATTTCAAAACAACAAATAAACATTTGAGGTGTGTAGACATGTTAAATAAGATAAAAGTTGACGTGTTTCACAACTAAAATTTGCAAAATTTAAGTTGAATTGGAAGTGATCAAAATATTCCTATTAATCTTTTGCAATTTGTGGACACCCTGTACATCTAATGTCAAATGTAAATATCTAAATATTATTATTTTTGAAAGCAGAGATTTTCATTAAGAACAACATTTTTTCGTAAAACTTACAATAAAAAAGTTGTCCCATATATTGCCAAAATTTTCAGACAATTTTTAAATATAGTATATTTATTTTATTGGTTTTTTTTAGATATATATTCAGCCGACAAACGACGAAAAATTCCTGCCGGTTGCTCATACTTGTTTCAATTTGTTGGACTTGCCTAGGTATAGAACGAAAGAACGGCTTAAATATAAATTGATGCAAGCTATTCAACAGACCGAAGGGTTTCATCTCGTTTAAGTTTATTAACATTTTTTACTAATTGCTATTTTGGATTGTTAATTTTATATGAATACAGATAGAACTTCAAAAATTAATTATCGGTCTGTTTCGATTGGTGGTTATACTTCTTATTTCTCGTTGGAGTTTTCAAAAATATCAAAGTTATTTTGCTTTGCGTGTTCTTTTTATACGTTTCTATTTTTTTTTATATACAAAAATTATCGAGAGGTGTATAGTTGGTATAGTTCTTAACTCGATTATTGTTACGACTATCATGAATATACAGGGAGTCCCAATAAAAAGTAGCCCCTTTAGTGAGCTAATAATTTCTAGCCCATTAAAGGGGCTACTTTTCATTGGGACACCCTGTGTTATGACTAGTTTTGTTTCGAAGAGAATCACTTGTATACTATAAATTTATATTAAAAAAAAATGTTGATATTAATTCTCAAGGGTTTTAATTGAACCTTTCCTTCGTATAAATAGCCGGACATTTTAAGAAACCATTTATTTAAAGTATATGTACATATAAATATAATAATACAATTTTTTTCTCGTTTAATTAACGTATCGTAGAAAAACTTCATTAAGCGTAAAAAGATTTGCGGACAATGCAGCTTATAATTTATATACATTCGAACTTAAATCATTTAATATTACATCAATTTTGTTTTTATAATAGATAATTAATAAGTAAATAACAGCATAAATATGTGAATTTAATTACATAAACGATTAATCTGTCGACGATTCATCCATATAGTGTTCTAGAGAGACATTCATATAGTGCATTAAATACATCAACGTCGTGACGTCATCGCCAGATTAATATGATAATAACCGCAAATAATTTATTCGAATTTATAACAATCGCCTTTATCTAAATTCATTCAAGTATTGTATTTACAATGAGCTATATAAGTTATACTTTAGATGTTTCACGAGAATGTGAAACGTCTAATCTAATCTATTATTACAATATAACGATCAGTTTAGTGCAAATTATCGGTTGCAATTAATTTAGCTATACAGGGTGGTCCGGAAGGAATGGCCCAAAATGAAATGGAAGATTCTCGATGTCAAAATATTACGATCTGAGTTAACTTGTTTTAGTAAAATATTGAAAATAAAAAAGATACAGAGCGGCAAAGTTAAAATCAAAGAAATGTTTTTTTCGCGGCAGTTTGAAAGATTTTGGATGTACGAAAGTGAAAATTTGAAGACAGGTGTTTTAATGCATGAGAAATTATAATAAGATATCCGTTTTGAGATATTTTCTACAGGGTGTCCCATGAGCTTTGTTGTTGATGTAAATGTAGGTCTAACTTTTTTATCCTTTAAGCTATCGTTTTTTTATTGAAAAATATTGAACAGTATTATTTTTGTGTAAAAAAGGTATACCTGTTGTTAGCCTCAAAAGTTAATAGTTTTCGAGATAAATGCATTTTAAGAACCAACTACATAACTTAATTGTTAATATTTTGATGTATTACTAAAGCAAATATTATGAAATTATTAACTTTTATTTAAGAAAAAGAACAAGAGGAGACTTAAGAAACATGGATATTACATTTTAAAACCGATAACACAATAAAATTATTATTTTAGTATACCAAATAAACGTTCAATAGGTTCAAAACTTCGATTCTCGATAATTTGATAGAAAATAAAAATGAATAAAATAATAAAAGGACCAAAATAATAAAGTAAAGGAATTAATTTTCCTTTATAGAAGATTTTTCTTTTCTTTTAAGGAATTTAATGAAATGAAAAATCTGTAGTGTGATTCTTAAAATGCGATTATCTCGAAAACTAGTAACTTTAGAGACTAACGATAGGTATACCTTTTTTTCTTAAAAATGATATTGTTTCAATATTTTTCAATAAAAAAAGCTATAGCCTTAAGGGTAAAAAAATTATAAGTATTATTACATCAACAACACAGCTCAGAGGAGACCTCTAGAAAATATCTCAAAACGGCCATCATATTATGATTTCCCATATCTTAAAACATCTATCTCAAAATTTTCACGTTCTTACAACCAAAACCTTTCAAGCTATTGCGAAAAATCATTTTTTTTTATTTCTACTTTGTCTCTCTGTATCTTTTTTATTTCCAGTATTTTACTAAAGCAAGTTGGATTAGACCGTAATACAGTGTGTCCCAATGAAAAGTAGCCCCTTTAATGAGCTTATAATTTTTAAACCGCTAATCATAAAAACGTGGGGTTTTCTCAAAAATGTTTTATTTTATTACAAGCTTTGTTACAGTGATACAAAGGGGCTAGTTTAGGGGCTACTTTTCATTGGGACACCCTGTATTTTGAGCTCGAGAATCTTTCATTTCAGTTTGGACCACTACTCACGGACCACCCTGTATAATACATATATACTGAGTGACAAAAGTAAAAGAACACCAAAAAATAGTTGTTGAAATTTAACCATTTATTTTAGTTACATGTATAAGAGAAAAATAAACAAATGATTAAAATTAATTCATCAAATTAACAACAAAACTTAAAAAAAAATTAATAATGTGTTGCACCACCGTGGTGCTGTACACACTCTCTACAGTTTGAATGAAAAATGAAAAATTTGCTTCTTGGTGTTTTTTTACTTTTGTCACTCAGTATATTTATACAACACGAATCGGAGATATTAATCAAGCGGCTCCTCCTCTTCGCTCCAATGCCCGGAATCCGCCACGTGCCGGAACAGATCCGGAGCCTTGTGCACCTCCGGTCAAATCTCCAGCACCGCCTCCCGCTCGACGAGGCCCCCGGACAGGGAGTGACTGCTGCCCGGCATCGGCTCCGGCAGCCCGTCGTCCAGGCACTCCGTTATCTCCTCGAACTTGCTGCTGTTGGGACACCCAAAACAAGAAAAAAATCAACCACCAATCCGGTACGGACACTTCCAAATCTACTCGCGAACCATACTTCATCCATCCAACCAATGGAGTAACCAAAACAAGGTTAGACGCTGGACCAACGCGTGATCACCAGTGATTGGCCAGCGTAAGGAGGCTTCATCATTTTACCCGATAGATGCAAATGTGCAAGATGATCCAGCGTCTAACCTTGTTTTGGTTACTCCATCGGTTGGATGGATGAAGTATAGTTCGAGTGATAATATACTGACCTTTCGAAGCTGTCGGCGTCCTGCAACAGCCGGCCCTTGTTCCGTCTTCTGGTCTTCTTCTTGGTCCTGAAGGTGAGCAGGAAATGGCAGAGGGCGAGGGCGAGCAGTTGCCCGCCAGCCAGATAGGCCAGCCAAAGGCCGTGCGGTCGCAGGACGGGTATCACCGACATCGGGACGTAGACGAGGGATTTCTTCCAATCGGAGAACCACGTGACGCCCGTCCAGTACTTCCACAGCCGGTGGTCGTGCCTGTGGAAATGTTGGAACGATTACCGAGGACGTTGGAATTGTGTTTGTTTGTTTGATAGGGTGGTTTTTAGGGCCTGGAAATGGGGAGTAGGGGAGTACAAGGGAGTAGCAGAGAACGGAAGAATGTAGAAGAGAGCAGAGCAGAGCAGAGCAGAACTGAAACAGAGCAGAATTGAAGCAGAGCAGAATTGAAACAGAGCAGAACTGAAACAGAGTAGAACGAAACAGAGCAGAACGAAACAGAGCAAAATTGAAACAGAGCAGAACTAAAACCGAGTAGAACTGAAACAGAGTAGAATTGAAACAGAGCAAAATTGAAACAGAGTAGAACGAAACAGAGCAGAACGAAACAGAGCAAAATTGAAACAGAGCAGAACTAAAACCGAGTAGAACTGAAACAGCAGAATTGAAACAGAGCAGAACTGAAACCGAATAGAACTGAAACCGAGCAGAACTGAAACAGAGCAGAATGAAACAGAGCAGAATTGAAACAGAGCAGAACTAAAACCGAGCAGAACTGAAACAAAGCAAAACTGAAACAGAGCAGAACGAAACCGAGCAGAACTGAAACAGAGCAGAATTGAAACAGAGCAGAACTGAAACCGAGCAGAACTGAAACATAACAGAATTGAAACAAACTGTAACAGAGCAGAACGAAACCGAGCAGAATTGAAACAGAGCAGAACTAAAACCGAGCAGAACTGAAACAGAGCAAAACTGAAACAGAGCAGAACGAAACCGAGCAGAACTGAAACAGAGCAGAATTGAAACAGAGCAGAACTGAAACCGAGCAGAACTGAAACATAACAGAATTGAAACAAACTGTAACAGAGCAGAACGAAACCGAGCAGAATTGAAACAGAGCAGAACTAAAACCGAGTAGAACTGAAACCGAGCAGAACTGAAACAGAGCAAAACGAAACAGAACAGCTAGAAGAGTAAAATAGACTGGGAAATTTCTAATTTAGATAATCATTACATATTAGAAGAGAATATAATGCACGATAATGCATTGCTACAAATAAAAATTCCTCAATCAAAGGAATTATTAGTGGTTGTTTTCCTGGGACTCCCCGCCCAATTTACCTATATGATTAAAATCTACAATCCCTTTAGCGCCCAATTTACATCCCCGTCCGATGAAAAATCAGCGCGAAATTACCGCCACGATGTAGAATATAGATTAGAATTTCTAATTCTTCGTTTTCTCATCGCGAGTTCATTAGTCCTAACGAAGTCTTCGAAAGAACGAATAAGAGAAGAAAAAAAAAACAACGCGCAGACAAAACGAAATGAAAAACTCGTTTGGAAGGTATTTGCAAATGAAATGGCGAAAAACTTCCTCACCTTCTAATTCCCTAATTCGGTCGACTAATGAACTGAAAATTCCCCGGCCATTTGCATAAGAAACCACTTCCCGAGTAATTTCGTTTCCTGCGAATCGCCCTTTAAATTATCCCGCCTAATTTTTTTCTACCCGCACAACCTCTAATAACTTCCCTGTTAATCAATCACTCACTTCTAATGCAATACATCTAACGTATTATGTATATGTATAATAGAGTCAGAAATGCAATCAATACTACAACAGAAACTTCCATCATTGTTACGAGCCCGTACATCCCCGCGTTATTATAGTAAAATTTGCCAAGCGGGAGACATTCGCCCGGCGAGATAAAGCCGGTAGGTAAATTACGCCCGCCCCCCGTAGTCGATATCAACAGTTTATTGCTGTAGCAAGTCGCCCGCTATGATTACTATTACTCGTTATTACGGGGCCGACGCCGAGCGTAAACGATTTATGTTTTAGAAATCCGGGCGTTGTAAACGTATTTACAATCTTCGGACGTGCGTTTTACGGCGGGTGAATTCGGCCACCGGAGTCTGTCTTGAGGTCTCGTATTTGCGGCTAAACGGTTCTAAAAGCCGGCGGGTGGTTTATCGGCGGGTAATTCGTCGTAAATCACTGTGGAATTTGACGGGGCGATTAAAACGGCGAACGGTAGCGTTTATTTTGCGGAAAAATGAGTATTTCGTAGTTCTAAAGAAAAAATAAGTAGAAATAGTTGTTGCTTTGACTTTACTGAGCTTTTAATTTGATTAGTGTGGTATATTTTATAAGCTGTCAAAATAATCGCCCTGACTAAAACTACGTCTGCGGATATGTGCGATTTTGCATTTACCAATATTTTTACTCGCAAATTCCAACAATCGTGCGAAAAAGTCGAAATAAAAAGCATCAAAATGACTATTTATAAAAAACAAAGACAATTAGTTGTTTCTTTGACATTATTGAAGTTGTCAATTTGACTAGCGCAGTCCTTATCAACCTGTCACCTGTCATAGTCAAAAAATTTACCGCGACTAAACCTCCGTCTTTTCTTTTAAGTTATTTTTCGTGATTTTTTCTTGGATTATTTAAGTTAGTGACCTAAAGTGGACTTTTTTAGTGGACTTGTTAAGTGAATTATTCAATTATTGCCTATTAGGTATGTACTTTTGTTTATTTATATAGAAAATAAGGTGTTTTACTAAGGTGTGTATTGTTTGGTATTTACAATTAAAAATGCTCAGTTTCTAGATTAAACCTAAACTTTTAATGATTACATTTAGTTGCCACTTATTTATATTACATAATGGAAGGATATTTAAGATTAGGTGCAATACATCATTAATTCGTAAAATTTGATTAGATTAGGTACGATTTACGGGTAGTTTCAGTTTTTGCCACCAGATGGAAAGCATTTCATTTCATTTCCCGATACGAAAAATTCATCGCAACAAAAACCATTTACCACACTACTACATTATACCTACTCATTTACATCATTTCAAAATTAAATAACACCCGTGTACGGCTTATTAGCCACCGTACACGTCAACGTCAAATTCGCTTTGTTCTTCCCGCTAACTTGACTATTACTTTATTTTCCGAACCCTTTGGAAATTCCACGACAAGCCGAATGAATAACTCGACAAAAACGATAACCATAAATCACGCGGGGCCCGGAAAACTCCCCGTTCGTTCGCCATAAATAGCAAAGTCGCGAGTAATGACTCCGCAAGATTTTGTATCTCAATCGGGCTCTATTCGAGGAGAATAGAGAAAGAGAGTATATACTTTGAATTATTCAAAGCACTCTTTGACCCGTTTTTGCGCCGCAATTAAAGTACATTTCGTAAAGTAAAAGGGTGCCAAATCGGGCGAATAAGGCGGATGTATATACGCGTATTATATTCATGTGAATAGAATGGAATTCTCTATCTAATTATAATCTGTCACGACAAGCTGCTTCCGTTAATCACGAGCTATACGTTATATGAGCTTTAAGTTTATTATACCAACAACGTCACTATTATTTAACCTATCCATAACATACGATTAGGGTGTTGTGTTGTATACAGATTAGTGCAAATTTGTACGCGATGCGAGTGCGACAAAGACAACTTCCCATTACTATCGTGTAAATCGAAAAAAGACAGCGATAGTGCGGGTTTATTCTCGCTCTAAAAAGCTCATCCTAGCTGTTAGGGTAAACCGGGGCAATGTGTATATAGCGCCAAAAATACTCATCTCGAATTTCTTCGTATTTTTCGAAAGGAAATTTAATAAAAGCTTTTGTACAAGGTGCACTTTATCTCGCCCATTTTGCTCGTCAGTTTCGCGGGTTCGAGTTGGGAGTCTTATTCGATTATAAAATGTTTAAAAGCGCATGGTATTTTGCTCGTGTCTGGATCGTAAAAATGTATTTTGTTACCGCGTTAGCAGCGTTTAGGCTACATTGTATGGAAATATTGATGAAGTTATACGGAGGTTTATGCGACGTTTTTACGGCAATAAACCGTGGGAATTTTGCAAAATTCTCTTCGGGTCGAACGGAACTAATTTATTGGGTTTTTTACAAGTTAATACAGGTCCAGGATATACTAGAATAGTCTAGAATTAATTAGAACGCTATTGAGGACTATTTGGAGGAGTTCAGGGAGGTCCTAGAACCATTTAGAACTGTCCAAATTATTTTTGAATTGATTCATGACTATTTGGATCGGTCCAGGATAAACTAGAAATATTTTAGAACTATTTAGAACATTTTAAGTACTATTTAAGAACAGTTCAAGATGGATTCATTTTGGATTGATTCAAGACTGTTCAGGGTTATTCGAGAACCATTTAGAATTGTCCAAAATATTTTTGAATTGATTCAAGACTATTTGGAACGGTCCAGGATAAAAACTAAAAACATCTTAGAACTATTTAGAACATTTTAAGTACTACTAAGAACAGTTCAAGATGGATTGAATTATGATTCATTTTGGATTAATTCAGGACTGTTCAGTGTTATTCTAGAACCATTTAGAACTACACAAAATCATTTTGAATTGATTCAAGGCTTTTTTGAAACGGTGCAGGCTAAAAACCAGAATCATCTTAAAACTATTTAGAACATTTTAAGTACTATTTAAGAACAGTTCAAGATGGATTCATTTTGGATTGATTCAAGACTGTTCAGGGTTGTTTTAGAACCATTTAGAATTGTCCAAAATATTTTTGAATTGATTCTAGACTATTTGGAACGCTCCAGGATAAAAACTAAAAACATCTTAGAACTATTTAGAACATTTTAAGTATTACTAAGAACAGTTCAAGATGGATTGAATGATGATTCATTTTGGATTAATTCAGGACTGTTCAATGTTATTCTAGAACCATTTAGAACTATCCAAAATCATTTTGAATTGATTCAAGGCTCTTTTGAAACGGTGCAGCATAAAAACTAGAAACATCTTAGAACTATTTAGAACATTTTAAGTACTGTTAAGAACAGTTCAAAATAGATTAAATGATGATTCATTTTGGATTAATTCAGGACTGTACAGGGACTTGGAACAGTCTAGGATAATCTAGAAATATTTTAGAACTATTCAGGACACTTTGAGGAGTATAATTAGAACAGTTCAGGGCTGTCCGAGAACCGTTTTGAACTATCCGAAATGCTTACCTGACGCATAATTGCAGGAAAACCGTCGCCACCCACGTGATTTCTGCTATAAGCACGAACATCGAGCAGCCTCTGAAACAAACGAAATATTATTAACAACAAATAATTTATATTGTTTATTATAGTAGAAACGGGAATTTTGTTTTGAATTGAAACGAAAGTTTCCATTCAACAATCTATTCATTTCGGGCCGAATTTTCCCCATATATACCCCACGAAATGCAATCTACTCTATTCTCTAAAATTCGAATGGAACTTTCTATATTAAAAGTTTATTTACAAACTTTAAACGAATTAATTAATTATCCGACTAAAATGGGGATATACCGCGAAAGCCCTGCATCAACTTATGATTTTGGACAGTTCTAAATGGTTCTAGAACAACCTCGAACAGTCCTGAATGAATCCAAAATGAATCATCATTCAATCCATCTTCTTAATAGTCCTCAAAGTGTTTTAAATAGTTTTAAGATTTTTCTAGTTTATCCTGAATTGTTCCAATAAAGAGCCTTGAATCAATTCAAAATGATTTTGACTAGTTCTGAACTATTTCAAACAGTCCTCTAAAAATGTTCTAAACAGTTCTACGATTCTTTGGTTTATCCATCAATTTATCCAGGAAAGTTTTTTATTAAATTTCTTATACGAAAGAAAAGCCTCGCACACGTGTAGATATCGGTTAGACATCCCCTAAGATTCGTTTTGAAAGATGACTATAGAGGGCGGCACGTGTTGATAAATAATGCGAAAATTTTCGAAAATTTACGGCCCCTCGTAGGGCAAAGGAACGTTGATTTATTATAAAGCTTTCGCCGGCATTCTTTATATGCCCGGAAAGGTGATTTATGGCAAATGGAATATTTTTAAATTATCCTCCATATTCCATATTTGAACGTTATTTTATTTTAGAGCTTCGATATGAAGTCTCTAGACAGTTTTGAGCCGTTTAGAACCCCACAAAAACATTCAGAACGTATTCAGAATAAATTAGAACTGTTCAGAACAGTTTCAAAACGCTTCAGAATAAATTAGAACTGTCCAGAACAGTTTCAGACGGATTCAGAATAAATTTGAACGTTATTTTATTTTAGAGCTTCGATGTGAAGTCTCTAGACAGTTTTTAGCCATTTAGAACCCCCCAAAACCATTTAGAACGTATTCAGAATAAATTAGAACTGTTCAGAACAGTTTCAAAAAGCTTCAGAATAAATTAGAACAGTCCAGAACAGTTTCAGAACGCTTCAAAATAATTTTGAACTGTCCAGAACAGTTTCAGAACGCTTCAGAATAAATCAGAACTGCCCAGAACAGTTTCAGAACGCTTTAAAATAAATTGGAACAGTCCCGAACAGTTTCAGAACACTTTAGAATAAATTAGAACTATCCAGAACAGTTTCAGAACGCTTCAGAATAAGTTTGAACTGCCCGGAACAGTTTCAGAACGCTTCAAAATAACTTAGAACTGACCAGAACAGTTTCAGAGCGCATCAGAATAAATCAGAACTGTCCAGAACAGTTTCAAAACGCTTCAAAATAACTTTGAACTGTCCAGAACAGTTTCAAAACTCTTTAAAATAAATTAGAACAGTCCAGAACAGTTTTAGAACAATTCAGAATAAATTAGAACAGTCCAGAACAGTTTCAGAACACTTCAGAATAACTTTGAACTGCCCATAACAGTTTCAGAACACTTCAAAATAACTTTGAACTGCCCAGAACAGTTTCAGAACACTTCAAAATAACTTTGAACCGCCCAGAACAGTTTCAGAGCGCTTCAGAATAAATCATAACTGTCCAGAACAGTTTCAGAACGCTTCAAAATTTAGAACTGTCTAGAACAGTTTCAGAAACTATCATGATAAATTAGAACTGTTCAAAACAATCTAGAATTGTCTAGAACTATCCAGAACTGTCTAAAAGTGTAGAGTTGCTCAAATTACTACTTACGATCTGTTACTTCGAAAAACTCCAACCTCTAATACATCCCTATAAAGTCCATTATATTGAAATAATTTTACTGGACTAGAGATGGGCGTTGATGAAAATAACGGCCTTTTATCGTATCGGTCAGCGGCTACAATAAAGCGAATATATTCGTTTCGGTTTCCAAACAAATTCTTATATGAGATGTTTGTATTAAAAACGGGGGTTATTTGATATTCTTCTCGGTTTTTACGATGGCATTCGAACCGGCGATATTGCCTATATAGAAGAGCCCTTCGGATATATTCGCGAATTCCTTTTGTGGTCCCCTCTCGAAAAAAAAAGGACCTCCATAAAAGAAGATCCTTCTCGGATAATTTATTGGGACGCTCTGTATTAAAGACGAAAGAAAAAGGAATCGCTTGTAACGTTCCAAAAAAAAACTCGAGCACATTTCGCGCGGCCCTCGTACGTTCTAAAGGCGTTTACGAGGGCGCTTCGAAAAATCGGCATCATTTTTTGGCACGATTCCTGTACCTTCTCGACCGTAGAAATGGTGTAATAAAATTTTAAAGGAAATCGAACTGGCGCAAGCAGTTTTCGAATATTGCCCGGTCGTAAAATGGCCGCGCTCTAACTCTAATAACTCCATTTTTGGTTCCTCTGCACTCGTACATATTCGTTATGCTTCGTTTTATGTCCCCGTTTCGCCTGCTCAATGCTCAAATTCCCATTTAACGTTTCAAAATCGACCGGAAATATTTCACACCACCGGATGGGGTCCATACAGACGATTCTACATATGGGAAGAATTCGTTTTATATTAGTTTTTATACAAGTATTTTTTCTGGACTAGTCCTGAACAGTTCAAAATAGTTCTGGACTCTTAAGTACATCTTGCATTGTTCTAAACAGTCTTGAATCCATTCAAACTGATTTTGGACAGTTACAGAATCATCCTGAACTGTTCCAAAATCGTCCTGAACTGTTTCAAATGGTCCTAGTCAACTATAAAACGGTTCTAACTGATTCTAAATGGTTCTAATTCGTTCAGAAGAGTTCTAAATCATTCTAGGGGCTTCTAATTTGTTCAGAAAAGTTCTAGAAATCATTCTGGATTGTTCCAAATGGTTTTGAACAGTTCTAAAATCGTCCTGAACTGTTTCAAATGGTGCTAGTCAATTATAAAACGGTTCCAAATGATTCTACGACAGTTCTAACTTATTCTAGATAGTTCTAAATCATTCTAGACGATTCTAATTAGTTCAGAAAGGTTCTAAATCATTCTTGGTAGTTCTAAATCACTCTAATAGGGAGTTCTAATTCGTTCAAAAAGGTTCTAAATCATTCTGGATTGTTCCAAATGGTTTTGAACAGTTTTAAAATCGTCCTGAACTGTTTCAAATGGCTCTAGTTAATTATAAAACGGTTCTAAATGATTCTAGGACAGTTCTAACTTATTCTAGATAGTTCTAATTCGTTCAGAAGAGTTCTGAATCATTGTGGACAATTTTAAATCATTCTAGATGGTTCTAAATCATTCTAGACGATTCTAATTAGTTCAGAAAGGTTCAAAATCATTCTTGGTAGTTCTAAATCACTCTAATAGGGACTTCTAATTCGTTCAAAAAGGTTCTAAATCATTCTGGATTGTTCTAAATGGTTTTGAACAGTTCTAAAATCGTCCTGAACCTGTTTCAGATGGTCCTAGTCAATTATAAAACGGTCTAACTTATTCTAGATAGTTCTAATGCGTTAAGAAGAGTTCTGAATTATTCTGGACAATTTTAAATCATTTTAGACAGTTCTAAATCATTCTAAACGATTCTAATTAGTTTAGAAAGGTTCTAAATCATTTTAATAGAGAGTTCTAATTCGTTCAAAAAGGTTGTTTAAAATACTTGTGCATATACTCCTGATAAATGGAGCGCTTCTGGCTCGAACAGTGTAAAAAAACGAGTTGGGAAAATTCTCGCGGACTTTCCCGGCTTTTCCGGATTTTCCTCGAATCTCAACTTGGAAAATTAGTTCTATTTGACTGTTTGTCTTTACATGCTACATAGTTATCTGATTAAGGTCTGCTTTTGATTCGGAACCGGTTCAAAGGAAAAGTTAAATTTTCCCGAGAAAATTATCTCGGAAAACTTAAGCTCTAATTCTCGCTAGTCGGGCGGTGGTAAAATCGTTGTAAAAGACTCCTGGAGGATTTATTTTTCATTTCGATCAAAAATCGCCGGTGGTTTTCTTTTCGGAATGCATTCGAGAGACGGCGGAAAATTTTTCTAAATAATAAAATAGCCGAGCGCTATAAATTGTGGTTTTTCCAACGTTGCCGTTTATAAATAGGAAATGAGGATTTTCGCGAGATTGCTCCTTTAAATATTAAGCCGATATACGAGTGGAAAATTTTGTAAAATTTACAAAATCGGTGATTTCCTTGTGGAAAATAGAGTGTTTTTTTGAGAGTTTCGAAAATTTTTCTTTATTTAAAAATGGAAGAGGAACGTTTTATCAATAAAATGAGATATTTAGGGTGTTTCTATGTCCATTACTTTTTGAGTTAATTAACTCTAATTTTAGGAATTTTAGGAATATTTGGTATTTTCTAGTAACTAAAAAAAATCAGTTGGCTACATTGGATATTCTGTAAATAATCGAGGGACTTCCCCGGCGATTCGGGCCGATACAATAACGCGAAAATGTGTCGAAACGAGGAAAATACGTCGCGAATTGAGGAAAACTTCGCACGGGGGAAAAGGTCGAAGTTTCCTGCAAACATTGAAAGAAAAAAAAAAGGAAAATTTGTTGGGAGTAATTCTCGAAAAACAGTCCCTTTCCATTTACCAGGAGAACGATTTTCTCGGTAGGAGTTGTGTAACTTTATTTGCCGCCTTTCCATCGTCACTATATATCGCAATCTGCGTCTGTTTCCAGACTTTTCCACACGTTTTCCACGTTTTCCTTTTCTCGGAAAAAAGCGCTAATAAACACGGCTAGGTGGCATCAAAAATGTATTAAAAAACTTCACTCTAATTCGCGCTAATTTCTTCTCTCCAAGGTGGAGATGGAGATTTTCCTTCGGAAAAGAAAACCATAATCGTTAATCACGCGTTTTAAGACTTTTCTCGTGAAAATCGACGGTTTCGCTCGTTCGGAAAAGTTCCCAATTCGCCTTTTACGACATTAGCCCGCTTACCCGTAAAATCTAATCTAATAACCTCTCTTCCAGGATTTTTCCAGGGGGTTTCCCCGACGGATATCTGGCAATAAAATGGGAAACCCGGTTAGAGTCTAAAACTTTGCAACTCCTAAACACCTATAAAACTAAATTTTACCGCGTTTTTTGACGTTACTCAATGTTGCCAACTTATTAGATTCGTTGTAGTATTTTTATTTTTAAAGTAGTATAAAGCTGGAAGGGGTGTTATTGAGTGATTGATTCGTTGGTGTGGTTTTGTTTGAAGGGTTAAAAATTGGAATTTATCGATTTACAGGGTGTTGAAATTTCGAATTTTTTTTGTTGTTTTTTGGGGGTTTTTTGGGTTTTTTTTGGGTCGATTTGGAGTTCAATGACGCCCGAAATTGGGCATCATCAGCCCGGTTTTGTTGTGTGTGTATTTCCCCCGGACATTAACAGGTCAGGCACGTATTTACGCCCTAATGGGCCCGATGAATGGATATATCTAGTCTGTGATTCCCCCAACTCTCGCACCAATTACGTATACACGTCCAATTTCGATTTCGAATATTAATTAAATTGATCAATGAATCGGAAATAACGTTTCTATATACCATTAAAACTGCACGCTCGATTTATTTAAAGTTGGTCTATTGTTATTTACGGTGCAACGGGGAATTCCCTATCGAAATAAGTAGATTACTAGTTGAATAGAGTGGAGTTGATTTGGAGTAGATTTAGTGTAAATTAGAGTAGAGTAGATTCAGAGTAAATTTAGTGTAGATTCAGAATAGAGTAGAGTTGGTTATTAGAGCAGATTCAGTGTAGATTAGAGTTGAGTACAGTATTCAATGTAGATTAGAGTAGAGTAGATTCATAGTACTCAGTATAGATTTAGTGTAGATTAGAGTAGAATAGATTCAAATTAAATTTAGTGTAGATTAGAGTACAGTAGATTCAGTGTAGATCAGAGTAGAATAGATTCAGAGTAAATTCAGAGTAGATTCAGAATAGAGCAAAGTTGGTTCAGAGCAGATTCATTGTAGATTAGAGTAGAATAGAGTCGTAGTAGATTTAGAGTAAATTCAGTGTAGATTAGAATACAGTAGAGTAGATTCATAGTACTCAGTTTAAATTTACTGTAGGTTAGAGTAGAATAGATTCAGTTTAGATTAAAGAAGAGTAGATTCAGTGTAGATTCAGAATAGAGTAGAGTTGGTTCAGAGCAGATTCAGTGTAGATTAGAGTAGACTAGATTCATAGAAGGTTCCGAATAAATTCAGAGTAAATTCAGAATAGAGTGGAGTTGATTTAGTGTAGATTTAGAGGAAATACATTTACTAATTTATTGTAGATTATAAAGTAGAATAATCAATATTTAAAAAATAACACTTATTTTGTAACGATTCGTTACCGCACCTCTATACTAAAAAAACAATTCCCACCTCTATTAAACTATGCGTCATTAACGTCAATTTTGACAGTTTAATATATCATCGAACGCATCTTAAAGTCCCACTTATTTCGATTTATCATAAAATCGCTTCGTAATCAAACAGCTCGTTACCGATAATTTTCCGATCTTATCCGAGCGCCCCGATAAAGGATTTTTCCACACGCGCTGTCACTGCACAGGACTTGAAATTGTTATCGGGAAACCGGCGGAAGAGCCTCGAATATAATTCGGTAATTTCGACTTTAAGGAAACCGCTTCCGGTAAAAACCCGAACTTGGGACGGCGAGTCACGAAGTTCCCGGGGTCGCAAAGAGGGATCCGACTACGTGGTTTTGCGGTTTTTGGCGTACGCCCAGAACTGCCCCGGAAGGGCCTCCCGATGTCCCCTTTTGCGCCCTCCCCACTCGCCCCCATTTGCCGCCTTCGACCCCGCAGGATGCCCGTTAGGGAATATTAGGTAAGTGCGGACGTCCTGTATTGATATATCAATTGATTGCTAACGGGGTGTTAATTAATAAGTTAGATCACCTGGGGGAGGCACTTCGAAGATGGCTTCCGTAGATTCGGATATTTAGCAGGTTATAATCTATAGAAATGTTTCTATTAGATTGTGTTAGGGATGTTAATTAATAGAAATGTTTTTATTAAATTGTGATAGGGGTGTTAATTAATAGGTTAGATCACCTGGGGGAGGCACTTCGAAGATGGCTTCCGTAGATTCGGATATTTAGCAGGTTATAATCTATAGAAATGTTTCTATTAGATTGTGTTAGGGATGTAAATTAATAGGTTAGATCACCTGGGGGAGGCACTTCGAAGATGGCTTCCGTAGATTCGGATATTTAGCAGGTTATAATCAATAGAAATGTTTCTATTAAATTGTGATAGGGGTGTTAATTAATAGGTTAGATCACCTGGGGGAGGCACTTCGAAGATGGCTTCCGTAGATTCGGATATTTAGCAGGTTATAATCAATAGAAATGTTTTTATTAGATTGTGATAGGGGTGTTAATTAATAGGTTAGATCACCTGGGGGAGGCACTTCGAAGATGGCTTCCGTAGATTCGGATATTTAGCAGGTTATAATCTATAGAAATGTTTCTATTAGATTGTGTTAGGGATGTTAATTAATAGGTTAGATCACCTGGGGGAGGCACTTCGAAGATGGCTTCCGTAGATTCGGATATTTAGCAGGTTATAATCAATAGAAATGTTTCTATTAAATTGTGATAGGGGTGTTAATTAATAGGTTAGATCACCTGGGGGAGGCACTTCGAAGATGGCTTCCGTAGATTCGGATATTTAGCAGGTTATAATCAATAGAAATGTTTTTATTAGATTGTGATAGGGGTGTTAATTAATAGGTTAGATCACCTGGGGGAGGCACTTCGAAGATGGCTTCCGTAGATTCGGATATTTAGCAGGTTATAATCAATAGAAATGTTTTTATTAGATTGTGTTAGGGATGTAAATTAATAGGTTAGATCACCTGGGGGAGGCACTTCGAAGATGGCTTCCGTAGATTCGGATATTTAGCAGGTTATAATCAATAGAAATGTTTCTATTAGATTGTGATAGGGGTGTTAATTAATAGGTTAGATCACCTGGGGGAGGCACTTCGAAGATGGCTTCCGTAGATTCGGATATTTAGCAAGTTATAATCAATAGAAATGTTTGTATTAAATTGTGATAGGGGTGTTAATTAATAAGTTAGATCACCTGGGGGGAGGCACTTCGAAGATGGCTTCCGTAGATTCGGATATTTAGCAGGTTATAATCTATAGAAATGTTTCTATTAGATTGTGTTAGGGATGTTAATTAATAGGTTAGATCACCTGGGGGAGGCACTTCGAAGATGGCTTCCGTAGATTCGGATATTTAGCAGGTTATAATCAATAGAAATGTTTCTATTAAATTGTGATAGGGGTGTTAATTAATAGGTTAGATCACCTGGGGGAGGCACTTCGAAGATGGCTTCCGTAGATTCGGATATTTAGCAGGTTATAATCAATAGAAATGTTTTTATTAGATTGTGATAGGGGTGTTAATTAATAGGTTAGATCACCTGGGGGAGGCACTTCGAAGATGGCTTCCGTAGATTCGGATATTTAGCAGGTTATAATCAATAGAAATGTTTTTATTAGATTGTGTTAGGGATGTAAATTAATAGGTTAGATCACCTGGGGGAGGCACTTCGAAGATGGCTTCCGTAGATTCGGATATTTAGCAGGTTATAATCAATAGAAATGTTTCTATTAGATTGTGATAGGGGTGTTAATTAATAGGTTAGATCACCTGGGGAGGCACTTCGAAGATGGCTTCCGTAGATTCGGATATTTAGCAAGTTATAATCAATAGAAATGTTTTTATTAGATTGTGATAGGGGTGTTAATTAATAAGTTAGATCACCTGGGGGAGGCACTTCGAAGATGGCTTCCGTAGATTCGGATATTTATCAGGTTATAATCAATAGAAATGTTTCTATTAGATTGTGATAGGGGTGTTAATTAATAAGTTAGATCACCTGGGGGAGGCACTTCGAAGATGGCTTCCGTAGATTCGGATATTTAGCAAGTTATAATCAATAGAAATGTTTGTATTAGATTGTTATAGGGGTGTTAATTAATAAGTTAGATCACCTGGGGGAGGCACTTCGAAGATGGCTTCCGTAGATTCGGATATTTATCAGGTTATAATCAATAGAAATGTTTCTATTAGATTGTGATAGGGGTGTTAATTAATACGTTAGGTGACCTGGTGCTCTGTGAAGATGGCTTCCATTGATACTGACCTGGGGCGCTTTATTTTCTTTTTTTCTTTTCTTTTCTTTCTTTTCGCAAATAAGACTAGTAGAATATTAACGATTTGAAATTGTCAAGTTGGCAATTCTATTATACATGCTGATGACGACGTCGCGACGACCGACGTCGCTTCGTATTATGCATTTATAACGCGTAGAAGACGTCGCGACGCCGCGGCGAAATTTTCGAATATAACAGTCAATTTCTGAGGAGTGTAAATATGAAACAATTGTGTATTTTAACGAAGCGATGACGTCACGTTTATGTATTGATGAACAAAGTATATATGATTTATAATTTTAATACAGGGTGTCTCATACTTTTTTGGTATACTGCGTATAGATCTTTTCATTCTAAGCAACTTTTTCAAGTAAATTTTTTTAATATTCTGGAAAATAAAAAAGATGGAAATTTGTAAAATTTCTTTAAATTTCGAATATTTTCCAATACGTACCTGCCATTACCATACACAGGGCCGTATTTAAAAACTTTTTAATAATTAAAAATTGAAAAAAAAAACATGCTCTCCTATTTTCTAGAATATTAAAAAAATTTACTCGAAAAAGTTGCTTAGAATTAAAAGATCTATACGCAGTATACCAAAAAAGTACCAACTTATGAGACACCCTGTATAGGGAGTTTCCTTACAAACGGACGTTTATATATTTATACAGGGTGAGTCAAGATGTATAAGGGGATTCTTGATTTAATTATGATGATTGTTGTGTTAAATGGAGCCTCGTATAATTTTTGCAAAGCGAAATTCCGCCATTTGCATAATTAATAAGCGAAGTAGATTGCTTATTTCAGTCGGTGTAATTGCGCTTTATACACCAGAATCCTTTATCGTCTATGATGTGGATTTTAATTAAAACTGCGATTGCAATGGCGAATGTTCCGGGCGTCTTTGTACAGGCAAATTAACTTGGGAATGTCGAAATGTACAGGTGTATAAAAATGTACAAAAAAAATAAAAATTTACAACGCGAACCCGATCGATTTCGGTATAATATTTTACACGAAATTTAAATTGAATTCGCCATTTTCGCTCACTTACGCGAGATCAAAGAGATATTTCACCGTGGATAATTCCAATGAGTTTGTATGAAATAAAATTAACCGAATCGAGCTATAACCGTTACTCGATCGAAACGCCCATCTCTAACAACCCCCTAATAAAATCAAAACATAGGAAAAATTGTATTATAATAGAGTTGGGAACCGATTAAAATAACTGTTACTTCGAGTGGTAATAATAGAAGCTCTCGAATCCGTTACTAAGCACAATTTCAGGTGAAATTATCAATTAGCGCAAAACAAATTGGTATTTTCGCATTGAGAAAGACGGGAAAGCGCTAGAGCTTTTCGGCATGAGCTTTATGAGGTTAGAGCGAAGGAATTGGATTCGCAGGGAGAGGCACTCTCGTCAATATTGCCCCGGAATAATAACAACAACTCCCGGAGAGTCGGAGCGAGAGCGCGAAAATAAAACGAAACTTACGAATAAAACGTTCAACAAGGAGCCGAGAAGCGAATGCTCTACTATACAGGGTGTCTCATAAGTTGACAGTTATTTTTTTTAAACTGCGTATAGATTACTACGTTTATACAGCGTGTAACAATACAGATATCTAAAAACCAACTTAAGAGTCTATACAGGGTGTTTCACAACTTATCCGACAAATTTTAACCACATATGCACTGTTACGAGAGAAGTTAATTTGCCAAAAAAAATGTAATAAAAGTCTCACAGAAATCGAGATAATAAAATAATAGTTTAACAGTTCGATTACTCACAAGATTTTCAAAATTGTTCCCATTTACTGCATTGCAAACTTGGGTGCTTGTTTTTTTTGTTTTAACCATGGTTTTGGTGCAACATTTGCTACAGTAAAGTATTAAGGCAAAATTATGAACGCAAAATGCAGTATTTATTTTTCGATTTTTTATTGAAACTCGGCTTTATAATTTTATTTCTGTGGGTCTTTTATTACATTTTTTTCTTAAAGAGAGAGAAGTTGATTTCTCAAAAAAAATGTAATAAAAGTCCTACAGAAATAAAATTATAAAGCAGAGTTTCAATAAAAAATTGAAAAATAAATATTGCATTTTGCGTTCATAATTTTGCCTTAATACTTTACTGTAGCAAATGTTGCATCAAAACAATGGTTACAAAAAAAAACAAGCACCCAACCTTGCATTGCAGTAAATGGGAACAATTTTGAACATCTTGTATAAGTAATTAAACTGTTAAACTATTATTTTATTATCTCGATTTCTCTAAGACTTTTATTACATTTTTTTTTGGGAAATTAACTTCTCTCGTAACAGTGCATATGTGGTTAAAATTTGTCGGATAAGTTGTGAAACACCCTGTATAGTAGCTTATGTAACTATACAGGGTGATTCAAAAAGGTGTACAAAGTGTTAGAGACCATTAAAAAAAAGTCTAGTAATTTGCTGTGTAAATATAATCGTGTGACTCATCCTGTACATGCAATATTCTAAATAAATGAGTAAGCGGAGCGAAAAAGCGATGCAAAACAATCAATATTCCGAGTGATATATTTCCTTTGCAATTTTAAGAAGAGAATAGAAGAAAATGGCGTCGGT